AATATGCGATTATTCTGATCCAGTGACTGCACCCAGTTGTCTGACCTCTGCATTAGTAAGTTTATTCAGGTACAGGTACATACAAATACATTTACCTAAATAATCATACATAGCAGTATGTGTAGAGTACCCACCAGGGTAACCCAAAAAAGTCAAAGTGACTTACTTCCATTGGCATCTAAGGGTGGTTATTAGAAATGATTAAACTCGGTGAATAAGGTATGTCGATGGTAATAGTACATGTAATAATAATTGCTCTGGGATGCTTTAAATTTAAGTCATATATTTGGTGTAGGTATGGTAGGTGGCAGGCTACCACACCTGACTTCCTACAATAAATATTATTCACCTTTCACCCTACATTGAATCTACAAATATTTTAAGGCAAGTAATGAATGTACTGTGTATGTGTTTTACTTTTTATTGTTTTTAAATGCCTAGTTCTACTGTTAATATATGTTAGTGTAAAAGTGTAAACTTTTATCTGATATTTATATGCATTTATGAGTGGAAAAAACGGCATTCAGCTTTATGGCGATTTCCACTTTATGGTGGTGCTTCGGAACCTAACCTGTTGTGTAAGTGGGGTCTTACTGTACTGTTGTTAAGTGAATGTAAAGTTAGATAAGTAGCAGTCTTCTTAATTCAAAACACACTTTTTTTTTTTTGTTCTAAATTTTAATTTTAATACTGTGGTTTAGTTGTCATATATAAAAATCTTAGCACATTCTTGAATTAAAAATTAAAAAGTCACAATACTGTGACAAACAATACACAAATAACTCACATGTAGGAGAATGAAACTTGTGATGACGTTTCCGTCCAACTTGGACTAGTTAGGACCGAACTTGGACCAGTTAGGATCGAACTTGGATCAGTTAAGACCAAACTTGGACCAGTTATGACCAAACTTGGACCAGTTAGGATCAAACGTGGACCAGTTAGGACTGAAGTAGGACCGAACTTGGACCAGTTAGGACCAAGTAGGACAAAACGTTGTTGTGTAACGTGGACCAGTTAGGACCAAGTAGGACCAAAACATCGTTGTGTAACGTGGACCAGTTAGGACTGAAGTAGGACCGAACTTGGACCAGTTAGGACCAAAATGTCGTTGTGTTTCAGTCTCGTACATGCGAGTCATGTATTGTTCCAGTCACGGTGTTGTTCCTTTTTCCATTTTAATTCAAGAATACGCTAAGATCTTCGTGTATGACGACTAAAACACAGTATCAAATAAGATTACACTTTAGGACATAAAACAAGCGGGTTAATCTTGGAAAATGTTTTCAGGTGACAAAGGAGTTTGAGTTGTACGCAGCTCTGGAACCCCTCGTGACCAAGAACAATGCAATTATCTACATCAACAAACTACTTCGATGGATCAAATGTGATGAACACAGATTGTTTATATTGAGCTCACCAACATTTTAGTATTAAGTGTATCTTTTTATATACGTACATTATTGTACCTATGTACAAAGTTGATCTCTTTACCAGTATCTTTTTATATTCCATAAGTCCCCATTGAATTTGTGCTACCGTATTCTCTGGCATATAAGGCACGCCTCTTTCCCACAAATTATATAATTATAACTAAGCGCTAAACCCACCATACAGCACTTTTTTTCCCACAGAAAGTCTTGGAAAATCAGCCTGCACCTTATGGTCAAGGTCGAGGGTAGTCTGTTATGCTTTAACGTAAAGTACAAGGGTAATTAACCCTGGAATATAATTACTGATTTACTGTTACAATATTTGTATCGTGCATTTTATATGCCAGAAAATATTGTTCCTTTAAAAGTTTAGTGTGTGCTGTAAATATTTTTATTTATTGCATGAAAGATTTTATGATAGAATAAACATTCCAGAATGGTTAAATACACTAGTATTTTTTTTTATTAACTACCTCGTTGAGTATAAATAACAAAAAGTCACAATACACAAATGGTCCAAGTCAGACCAAAACATCGTCATAAGCTCCTCTCTCCTACGTCCGGGTTATTTGTGTACTTAATTATAACCTCATTTTGTATATAGGCACAAATCTTCTTCATAAATCGTGTGTATAATCTGTACTACTTTTTGAGGGACAATAGATTATTATACCCATCAAGGGAGGTTCCTTGATGCTGGTGAGGGGCTCTTGATCCAGGGAATTGGATCTGTGCTCCAGTTCCCTGAATACCTCCATCCCTTCCCCCCCAGGTGCTGTATAATCCCTATGGGTTTAGCACTCCCCCATGATTGTAATAATTACAATCAGAACTAAGAGCTAAACTCACAAGGGTCATACAGCGCTGATGGAGGGACAGTAGAACAACATTCGAGATTTAAACCACTATGGGTGTTGGTATAGTTTTGAACAAAGGATTTCCAAATCTATGTACAAGAGAGTTGTTGTATTGCTATGATCTCAAGATCAAGTTTAAATAACCCATTATTGTGACACAAGGCAGTGCAGTATGACCCTGGTGGGTTAAGAGCTTAGTATATTTTTAACCTGTAAACGGTCCAAGCAGATCTACGTTCACGTGTAGTACTACAAAAGTAGATCTACGTTTTTTTTTTTTTTTCATATTTTCAAATATAACAAAAAAAAGGTAGATCAAAGTTTTTTTTACACGTTTTCAAATGTAAAAAAAAAAACAAAAAGAAGATCTACTTCTTTTACATACTTTCAAATGTTGAAAAAACGTATATATACGTTTGGACCGTTTATGGGTTAAATACATCAATCATCTCCCACCAAGGCAGGGTGACCCAAAAAAGAAACACACCATCATTCAACACTTTCACCATCATTCAACACTCACCATCATTCGCACAATCACTGTCTTGACAGAGGCGTCCCGATACGACAGTTTAAATGTCACTCTAAACAGCTATGATTATAATAATATCGTTCCACAATTACCCGGTTTAATAAGTGTTCAGGCTATTAAAACAAAATTACTTTTTTTGTCTTTAAATTATACAAACTAAGTGGTAAACCCATAAGGATCATATTATCATGGGAGAGCGCTAAACCGTAGGGACTATACAGCACCTGTGGGGGGGGGGGGGAATGGAAGGCATTCAGGGTCAATTCAGTTAAGTGGAGCACAGATCCAATTCCCTAAATCAAGAGCCCCTCACCAGCATCAAGGAACCTCCCCTGAGCATCATTAGGTCGTTACGTCTATAAGACAAAGGAAAACAAACGAGAGTAGTGAAGCATTACATTATATTTGTACAAAGTTTACACACAAAGCCAAATAAATGATAAAATGCATATTTAGTAATGATATACGTATTGATCAAAGTGGAAAATAAATTGCAAAAACATAATGTATAGAAAAATCAATGTATGTATTTATTGAATTTAAAAACTTGTCAGTTACGGAGGAATGTTTATGTAAAATAATAAGCAAATATGCATAAAAAAATGGTGACTGGTCAGGACCTATGCTTCAAAAAGATATTTTTTTTTTTTTTCAAATAAAAAAATATTGACTCTTATGCACAGTACATAATTCCTGGTATTATGGCCAATATTACCTCCGGTACACAATACAAACACAAAGTATCCAACAGTTGCAGAGAAGCGATTTGTGACTCAAAACAACCGCAGGGGAGTTGAATGATAACTCTAGGCCTTTCGTGTTGCAATCAACATATCTTCAGGAGCTTGCAATGTTGCAGAAATAAGTAGGAAGTTCAGGTAGATTTGTTCTAGGAACAACTCTAGCTAGTCATTCCTGGACTTCCTGCTCATTTCTGCAACACTGCAAGCTCCTGAAGACATGGTGATTGCAACATGAAAGACCTAGAGCTATCATTCAACTCCCCCATGGCTGTTTTGCACACAAAGTATATAGTATAATACTGACCGTGACTTGCACCACATTACAAGATGCAAGTCAGAGAACATTTAAAGAAAATATAATTGATACAATTCATTGCCTCGTTCATCCTTAAATTCCACCTGGCAGGAATGTTGCAGAAATAAATACATGTATTCAGATTCAATGTTGCACATATCAATTGCAAAACTTTTAGAGGTTCAGCACTTTCCATGACTATTATTATAATCGTAACTAAGTGTTAAACCCACAAGGGTCATACAGCTTTCCACGGCTATAAGAGTGATATTAAATTATCATAATTATTGTTACTCTCAGGGAAGAACTAAAATTGTATGGGCCATTTATTTTGACAATCATAAGTGCTAAACCCAGTGGGGTCATATAGCACCTGGGAATGGATGGCACTCAGATCTGATCCAAGGCAGGGGAGGTTAGCTTCAATTCTTTGGATCAAGAGCCCTCCACTGAATAACATATTAATAGATAAAAATGTTTTAGGTCACAACGACCCTTCAGGGAGAGTCCTTGATGACAGGTCTTTATGACTTATGGGTTTAGCACGTAGTTACGACTGTATTAGTGCAAGGCTCTTGGTCCAGGTAACAAACGAAACCTTTCGTTACGTCAACCTGATTACTTCCCATTTCCCCCGAGCTCTGACCATACGAGTTTAGAGCTTCACCATGATTATAACAAAGCCACAAGATAAATCCAGATTTAATAATTGGACTAAGATTATTTTGTACAAAACAATCATCTTCGAAAAAATATTTTTCTTCACATTAGCATTATTTACCTGCATAAAGCAGGTAAATAAATAATATATTTTATCAATAGTTCTAAATTAGGCAGCAAGGGGCTAGTAATACATTTTCCTGTATAAATTACTAAATGTAAAAAGAATAAAAACTTTATTTTTTCTTTTCTGGTCACCCAGCCTTGGTGGGAGACCACCAGCGGTATTAATAAAAAATATTCTAACTTAACATCTTGTAATGCAAATACCAATCAAATACATTGTAAGTAATGTTAAAATGGCTGTAAAAAAAGTATCAGAATAAACAAACATACTGCTTGAACACCAGCCATGTCTTCAATTAAAATATCAAAAATAACTGAACAAGAGACAGGCTTCTAGACGATAGTTAAATTTAATACAAGAAACCCCTGATTGTGAATAAAAAACAATCAAGAGTGTCGTTGAAGGAAATTTCACCTCTAGCGGCTGTATTATTATTCTTGCTATATGACCCTTGTCGGTTTACTGCTTTTTCTGATTGTAATACTATTATTATTACTACTACAATCAAAGCTAAGTGTTAAACCCACAAGGGTCCTCTTGTGACTTTTATCAATTATAATTAGTTACTGAAGACATTTTGCCAGAGGTGAAAGTCAACCTCAATAAATGTCTCGCTTGTGCACATGAATCTTAGTTCCACAATCTGTCAGCATTAACAAATCTGTCATTGTACAAGAACTCCAAAAGTTTTATATAACACACGTGGAATAATGCAAAAATAACACCACATTCACAATTACTGTAACTTGGAATAATATTCAACTTTTAAAATCATGTTTAGTAAACAATGCTAAAAGTAATTGAAGATACAAAGTCAGGAAGAGATGTACAGTGGACCCCCGGTTAACGATATTTTTTCACTCCATAAGTATGTTCAGGTGCCAGTACTGACCGAATTTATTCCCCTAAGGAATTTTGTGAAGTAGATTAGTCCATTTCAGACCCCCAAACATACACATACAAACGCACTTACATAAATACACTTACATAACTGGTCGCATTCGGAGGTAATCGTTATGCGGGGGTCCACTGTATTTGACAACACATAGTCAAACTTTGAGTCATATCTCCGGTAAACACCAGCAGCGTATATTGTGTGTGCGCTGCACACCCACCAAAGATGGCACATTCATCGTAAATATTAAGCTCACTGAATAGTATAATCATGGATCATGATGAGAAACTAGTTTTTCTGTCTCGTGTTATGAAATATTTTGGAAGTTCTGAGTAATGCTTATGTGAGAGTAGTAGGTTCAGCATGGTAGCACAGTGCATTCTCTGTGACCAGAGATAAGATTTTGTAGGCCCCTGGGCTATAGGTATTGTGAGTCCCCTGGCTTACAGGTGTTATGAGGCCCCTGGGCTACAGATACTGTGTGGACCTTGGGCTACAGGCAATGTGAGGCCCCTGGGCTACAGACACTGTGAAGCCCCTGGGCTACAGGCACTGTGAGACCCCTGGCTACATAGTGAGCCCTGGCTACAGGCACTGTGAGACCCCTGGGCTACAGGCACTGCGAGACCCCTGGGCTACACGTACTGCGAGGCCCCCAGTGATATTTTGAAAATGAAAAAAATTAATGACAACAGTCAAAACTTGATCATATATGTGATGTAATAACATACTACAATTATATACTTCTCCATGGGGAAGTGGAACAGAATTCTTCCTCTGTAAGTCATGTGTATTGTAAGAGGCGACTAAAATGCCGGGAGCAAGGGACTAGTAACCCCTTCTCCTGTATACATTACTAAAGTTAAAAAGAAAAGCTTTTGTTTTTCTTTTCGGGCTACCTTGCCTCGGTGGGATACAGCCGGTGTAATGTTGAATGGAGGAGAATTATAAACTTAGAGCATGAACACCATGGTAAATACCAGTGTTGAGTGAAATCTGCAGCAATGTTGTACTGACAACACTACACCAACCTCCTCTAAAGTGAGCTACAGCAAGTCTTCAACTTACGAACGCTTTGGGGACCTCCTGTATTGTGTATAATATTCATAATACAGGAAGTCTTCAACTTACGAACACATTGGGGACCTTCTGTATTTTGTATAATAATGATATTATACACAATACAGTAAATTCTCAACGTGTTCGTAAGTCAAGGACTTACTGTATATCAATGTCAGCGATGGGTTCTTGCTTTGGGCATTTGGATGCATCATCCATTTCCTTCTATTGTATCTCATTACCTCCCATTCCCCAGGCACTGTATGACCCCTACAGGTTTAGCTCCATCAAATGAGTGTAATAATAATTCCAGCAAACTGAGTAAGCATATTTGTCATTTTTTTAATGACTATGAACTGTGGTGTTTACTCTGTGCTGAGTGAAGAAGTGTTGCAAGAAAAACAAAAATAGGCAAGGAATATACAGAGAAATGAAAAAAAGGAGAGAGAGAGAGAGAGAAAAAAAAATTAAAACAAATATATACAGATTGACTGGTAGGTCCGCCTTTATTAGCGTTCCACGTTACGTTCTCCATTAACCTCAAAGCTTCACCTGCCATATTTTAAACTATTTTAAACTATCTTCCTTACTATTACCGTTTTTACTATTTTCCTTGCTAAGCTAACACTATTTAAAAACTATTAGCAATAATATAAAAATTGAAAGTCCTGTTTATATATGCGAGAACTGAAGGAATGTCTAACTTATGACTTACTAGTAACCTTCCAGTAACTTACTAGTGGAATGTGCAATGCAAGTATGATGAGAAAAATAATGCAATGAGCAATAGTTACCTGGAATGCTCATCATTCCTTGGATCAAGAGTCCCTTACCTCATCAAGGGAAGAGGGCTGATATAATGAACATGATACACAGCAATGCAAAAATCTGTTCACTATAGCAAGAGGTGTGACTGAACAAGTATAAGTGTACTCCATCATGACTTATGAAATCGTAATGATACAAATAAAAACAAACCAAGAAATGAGTTGGTTTGAACTTATGGTGAGTGGGCCATAAAACTCCAAGCCAGTGTGTAAGCCACTCGATGTGGCTTACGCACCGGCCTGGAGTTTTACCACTCACCTGCCGTAGGTTCTAACCTTGCCCGTACCCTGGTAGTGTAACTGTATATTGTATCTCACTTCAAATGAGAAATTTCTTTATATAACAAAATCTTACTGGTTATTTAATGACATTTTATTTGGCTATTACATTATTTACTACCCATTTTAGAATACAGTAGAACCCCCGTATCCACAGATTCGGTATCTGCGGTTTCAGTTATCCACAGTTTACTGTAGCCCAAAAATGACCCTTAATTTTGCATAATAATGACTCCAAAACACAAAAGTAGTGATGGTGACAGTTGTTCAGAGTCTAAGAGAAGTTGTGAAGTTCTTCCCATCAGCTGAAAAAGTGTTAATTCTAGACTTACTGTGCATAATTTATCAATTAAACTTGATCACAGGTATGTATGTAAACCAAAAGTGACTTGTATGTATAGTGTTCACTACTATCCAGGGTTGAAGGTATTCCCTGTAGATACAGGGGGACTACTGTATATTGCACAGGGTGTTTTACTCATAGGAGGCCCCTAGTTGGTACTGCCATAGTTGCAACCGTCTTGTTTACAACTACAGAAGTACCAACGGAAGGCCTCCTACAAGTGAGAAACCCTGTACTTCGAGTGTGACGGATGTACCTAACTCCATTGTCCGTGCAGCTACCACTAATATAGTTAACAAAAAGGAGGGGAGGGGAGGGATGATTTAACCTAGTTGGTATATACAGAAATTTATATTATGAAATTATTTAATGGAATGCTCAAGATAAGAATGTAATTATAGAAGGAAAATGCAGAAAATTTCAGTTTAACCTAACATCAATGTTTCAAGATTTGCCTAAGAATGTCAAATGCCTAACCACAATGAAGAATTCAGGGAAACTTTTTTTCACGTATGCTGGGCCTCCATATACAGCTTTTTTTTTTTAGTGTTCGACATTTTTATAAGCTTCAAATCGAGCCATTGTTCATTATGTTTCACCTGACGGCAATTTTTGCTGCTGGGTGCAACATAATGAACACTGGCTCAACTGAAAGCCAATGAACACATGGAACATCAAAAAGAGGAGTTGTATATGTGGGCCCCTCCTCTACTGTATGAATATTAACCCTTAAACGGTCCAAACGTATATATACGTTCACTGGCGTAGCGCCCCAAATTTTTTGAGGAAAAAAAAAAAATCTTTTAAAAGGTAAGAAGAGCATATTGTGCCCAGGCATCCCCAATTATTTTAATATGGCACACAGTGAGTGCACACACCCATTCTCTCATGTCTAGGTGACTCAGGCTTATTGTGGCAATGTTGAATGAATGACAAAGAAAACGTATATATACGTTTGGGGCGCTACGCGTGTGAACGTATATATACGTTTGGACTGTTTAAGGGTTAAGAACCTAGAAAAATCAGGCAATACAAACAAAATGGTGGTATTAACACGACCATACTGGAACACCAGATATGGCTGTACATAAGCACACAAGTATCACACTGTTCAATGATCACAGACTCTGGCTGTGCCTTGATTATTGACAAGGACCAGTATTGTGGCAAGAAGGTACCCAAGGCTCCTTCAAAGACAAGTGGTTGGCAGAAGACAGCTGATGACAATGTACATAGGTTAGCAGGCAAAAACAGTGGTGTTATAAGAAAGCTACGAAGAGATTAGGCAAAAAAGTAGGCATCAATCTTTACAAATATAAAAAACAGACTTAAAAAAAAAGCTAAGAATCCTGAATGAAGTACAGGTGCTCCTCGACTTACAATGGTTCAACTTTACGATGGTGTACCTTTACAGTGGTGGGGCAGCAATTACTTTGTTTCTTCACCCCACTTTTCAATACTGGTATTTACAGTAATTATTTATTTAGTGACAGCAGTTATTTATTTACTTACTTATCACATATTTGACTTACGATGGGTTCGTCAGAACTTAACCCCACTGAACATTGAGGACCACCTGTATTATAAACACTACGACATTGTTTACTGGGGTCGAGCAAAAAACTTGCTACATAGGCTTGAAGACCAAAATACATTACGAAGAAACCAATGCATCATACACACTAGGAACTGAAGCCTTAATATTCAAATTACCTTCACAATGACTGTCACAACATAACTGAAATACAGTGTACCCCCGGTTAACGATATTTTTTCATTCCAGAAGTATGTTCAGGTGCCAGTACTGACCGAATTTGTTCCCGTAAGGAATATTGTGAAGTAGGTTAGTCCATTTCAGACCCCCAAACATACATGTACAAACGCACTTACATAAATACACTTACATAATTGGTCGCATTGGGAGGTGATCGTTAAGCGGGGGTCCACTGTATAATACAAGTCGACCGTCACTAATCCAACATCACAGGAAACTGTGTCATACCTTTGAAAGCCCTGGGGTGTAAACTTTTACCAATGATGCCAGCCAAAATTAGTGCCGAATTAGTGATGGAATCGGATTAGCAATGGAACCAGATTAGTGATGGTACCAAATTGGCGACTGCTTATCAGTAATGGCCGACCTGTATTAACCTATATAAGTAAAATTATGGTATGTACTTTTAACCAATTTAGATTTAAAGAAATGGATTGCATTAAGAATACTTCCTGAAAATTAAAAACTAGAGCTAATGGAGTAAATTTATAGTTTACAATCAATGTGTGACAATTGAACAATATATAACGTAATCAGAAATAAAGATTAACGTGCATTATTTATCTATTTTCTCTTGGCTTATTACAGCTTCTTCACTTTATTCATTGAAGAATGGAATATGGTTAGACATTCTATAACTAGTCACTACTACTGACTAGAAGCAATCAATTGCTACTAAGGTATCAACCAGGTACATGTGCACTGACAAATCGGTTGGAACTTAATGGTATACTCAATTATTTTTAGTAATGTTCATAGCATCAAAACGCAAAAACAAAGTAAAAAAAATAATATATAAAATATCGTTGTAATAATGTTGGCAGAATTACCGACGATATGTTAGGTAAAAGGGCACAAGTGCAACTAATGTGACATTTTATTGTGGCAACGTTTCGCTCTACAGGAAGTTAAACGTTGCCACAATGAAATGTTGCATTAATTGTGCTTGTGTCCTCTTTACCTAATTTACAATATCATTACTATTAAAAATGCTACTATTCTAAGTACATACTGTATTCCACTTTCATAGAATAGCAAGGAATGGCTCACAGGATGAGTTGATTGTTTAAATTAAGTGGTAACATAGCTGTGTGTATGTGGGTGACGGCAAGAGTAGAGGACGTGTGAAAAATGGCATGGTGATACTGACATGTGGAAAAAGGCACTTACGTACAGTTCAGGACATTTAAACCACTGTACGGGTTGGAACTGAACTTGCGGCAAGTGAGTGGTTAAACTCCAGGCTGGCGCATAAGCCACTGCGTCAGCTCACTTGCCGAGTTCAATCCCACCCCCGTACCTTGGTTTGTTTGCTACTCATGGTATAACATTGCTTTAATAAATGTCCTAAGCTATAATGGTATGAACTTTGGTAATTAATACCAAGAAGTTGTTTTAAAAAAGATGTGATCAAACATTCGGACATATTTATAAGAAAACATTTCAGTTCTAGGACCTTGATCACTTCTAACCTCTGTATGTTAGAAGTGATCAAGGTCCCAGGACAAACGTTTTCTAATGTCTTTCCTGGTACAGTGGTACCTCGGGATACGAACTTAATTCATTCCAGAAGGCTGTTCGAGTGCCAATACCAAAACAAGTTTGTTCCCATAAGGAATAATGTAAATTAGATTAATCCATTTCAGACCCCCAAAAATACACTTACAAAAGCACTTACATAAATACACTTTAATAACTGTACGAGTTTTGAGCTGTTCGTATCCCGAGGTACCACTGTACGTATTTGCTTATGTGTCTTTCTAAACCGTTTATTTTTTTATTTAACATGCTGGCTGTTTCCCACCAAGGCAGGATGACCCGAAAAAGAAACACTTTCACCATCTTTCACACCATCACTGTCTTACCAAACAGTAAATATCTCAATTTATTGGTATTAATTACAAAGTTTATACTACCACAGTTCAGGCCATTTATTAGAGGAAACACCATGTTTCAGTCCTCTAATAAATGTCCTAAACTGTACATAAATGCCTTTTTTTCACACAGGACATAAATTTTAGATCTGCCTTAAGGGGCACTATTTAGAGCAAGACAGATAATGAATATGGGATGATATGCACTTTATTCTACATCTAAATGAAGGCTTTATTCTGCACACTGGCTGACTGTTTATTAGTTCCACATTGTGTGGAACTAGAATGATCACACTATGTGGAACAAAATACGATGTCAACAGCCAGAACAACAGTGCAAGTCTTGAAATGATCTCTATGGCAACCAAGGTGAATATTATCAGTACTATAACTTGACAGTGCCTGGGGGTAGACTAGTGTTGCAGGTGCGGTAGTATCGCAGATCATTGATGAACCGTTGAACGTTTTGTGTAAAAGTTGGAAGGTCCTGTAAAGAAGAAAGAAAAACAGTTAAGATGGGTCGTCATCAACTTATGGTAGTTCAACTTAGGATATTTCAAGAACTTTGAAACAGCCTGACAAAGTTCCTGGAGAGTGAAGCATTATCATAATAAAATGTCACATTACAGCCTCTCCTCACTTAACGATGGAGTTCCATTCCTGAGACCATGTCGTTAAACATCACTTAACGATGGAGTTCCATTCCTGAGACCATGTCGTTAAACATCACTTAACGATGTTTGTACGAGTAGAAGACACATGTGCAACATCTGGGTATCTTTATTGTAGACGTTTCGCCATCCAGTGGCTTTATCAATACAAATTCTAGGACATAACTTGAAGACAGTAGAACTATGTACAGAAGATGAGGTAATCATTCCCTCAACCTAGGAGTAGGTGCGAACAGCACCATAGTCGTGGAGATTCTGAAGCAACTACAACTAACCCATCTCTTTGGGAAGGACCTACTTCCACTGGGGAATCCCACCTACCAGTGAATTTGCCCTCGTCTGCTTCACCTGACGTTACTATATAAGCGCCAGGATTCTTTCTTCTGCTTCAGAATCTCCACGACTATGGTGCTGTTCGCACCTACTCCTAGGTTGAGGGACTGATTACCTCATCTTCTGTACATAGTTCTACTGTCTTCAAGTTATGTCCTAGAATTTGTATTGATAAAGCCACTGGATGGCGAAACGTCTACAATAAAGATACCCAGATGTTGCACATGTGTCTTACTCTCATCACTTAACGATGGAGTTCCATTCCTGAGACCATGTCGTTAAACATCACTAAGTGAGGACCATACTATAAATAGTGAATTTGTGTCAACCATCTATGACATTGCTTTAATGTCACTTTTGCACCATTTATAACATTTCTGATATATTTTTAAATTTTTATACAGTAGTGTACTGTATATTGAAATAAACAGAATAGAGGAAATCAGCTCTAATATACATTATTTAGGTATGAATATGGGTCAGAGAGCACGACATAAGTCCGAGGCATCAGTAAACAAGGACGTCGCTAATTGAGGAGAGGCTGTAGTTGAATCTGTGTCCATTTACCTGACATTTTGTTAGTAATAAATCCCACATCACATTTTAATTTCTACGCTCTGAATACCCTTCACAATAATCACACCACACACTGATCTCAAATCCATGCCTCACACCCATACAAGCAAATAAACAAGATGTAAATAACATGCTAAAAATATCTAACCAAGAGAGGACTTGCAGTGGTTTGGCAAGAGAGTTGTGGATGAGTGGAACAGAAACTCCCAAGTAATGTAATCGAAGCTAAAACCTTGTGTAATTTTAAATAAAGGTTACATGAGTGGGTGTTGGTGGGTGTGAGCTGGTCCTGCCTAGCTTGGGCCAGTGGGTCTGATGTAGTGTTCTTAGCATGGGCCAGTAGGTGATTTGGGCCTGCCCAGCATGGGCCAGTAGGTAACTTGGACCTGCCTAGCATGGGCCAATAGGTGACTTGGACCTGCCTAGCATGGACCAGTAGACCTGCAGCAGTGCTCCTTCTTTATGTTCTTTAACCCGTAAACGGTCCACACGTATATATACGTTTTTACCGCTAGTGCCCCAAACGTATATATACGTTTTGTGTGTCATACGTTTAACACTGCCACGATAAGCCTGAGTCACCTAGACATGAGAGAATGGGTGTGAGCACTCACTGTGCGCCATATTAAAATAATTGGGGATGCCTGGGTACCATATGCTCTTTTTTCCTATTAAAAAAAAACAATTTTTTTTTTCTCAGAAAAGTTGGGGCAGTACGGTAGTGAACGTATATACAGTGGACCCCCGGTTAACGATTTTAATCCGTGCAAGAGGGGTAATTGTTATGCGAAATAATCGTTATGTGAATGAATTTTCCCCATAAGAAATAATGGAAATAAAATTAATCCGTGCAAGACACCCAAAAGTATGAAAAAAAAAATTTTTTACCACATGAAATGTTAATTTTAATACACACAAACTGAAAAAGGCATGCACATTACATGACACTTACTTTTTATTGAAAAAAAATCGGTGATGAATGATGGATGGGAGGAGGGAGAGAGAGTGTTATTGTTTAGAAGGGAATCCCCTTCCATTAGGACTTGAGGTACAAGTCCTTTTCTGGGTTACTTCCCTTCTTCTTTTAATGCCACTAGGCCAGCTTCAGAGCACTGGACTTCTTTCGCACAAGATATCTTCCATAGTGGCCTGAAACCCTCGTTCCTTATGACTTGCCTAAAGTGTTTCACACAACATTGTCAGTGACGGGTTGCCAACACGGCTTGTAATAGCTGTGTGAGGGTGATTTTCATCAAAAAAGGTTTGCACTTCAAGCCACTTTGCACACATTTCCTTAATCTTTGTAGTAGGCAACTTCTTCAATTTCTCTCTCCCCTCCTCTGAACCAGTTTTCCCTCAGGTCTGGCCTCTGCTCTTGAAGTTGATCTATCAGCTCATCAGTGGTTAGTTCTTCATTGTCCTCCTCCACCAACTCTTCCACATCCTCCCCACTACCTCCAACCCCAAGGACTTTCCCATGCCACAATGGATTCCTCAACTGGCATAATCCTCTCAGGGTTAGCCTCAAACCCTTCAAATCCCTTTTGTCTACACATTCTGGCCACAGTTTCTTCCAAGCAGAGTTCAAGGTCTTCTTAGTCCACTCCCTCCCAAGCCTTACCTATAGGTTTACACAATTGAGTGATATTAAAGTGATCTCTCCAAAACTCTCTTAGAGTCACGTTGAGTTTCTGAGGTCACTACAAAGCACCTTTCAAACAGAGCTTTGTGTACAGTTTCTTGAAGTTGGAAATAACCTGCTGGTCCATGGGCTGCAGGAGAGGAGTGTATTAGAGGCAAAAACTTCACCTTAATGAGCTCATGTCCCCATAAAGTCGCTCTGCCACGTCTGTAGGATGACCAGGGGCATTGTCTAACACCAGGAGGCACTTAAGTTCTAATTTCTTTTCAGTTAGGTAATCTTTCACATTGGGGCAAATGCATGGTGTAACCAGTTATAGAAAAATTCCCTAGTGACCCATGCCTTACTGTTTGCCCTCCACAGCACACACAAATTATCCTTGAGGATATTCTTTTGCCTGAACGCTCTGGGAGTTTCAGAGTGATACACTAATAAAGGCTTCACTTTGCAATCACCAGTAGCATTGGCACACATGAGAAGAGTAAGCCTTCTTTCATAGGCTTATGTCCTGGAGTGCCTTTTCCTCCTGAGTAATGTAGGTCCTGCTTGGCATTTTCTTCCAGAACAGGCCTGTTTCATCACAATTAAACACTTGTTCAGGTTTCAGTCCTTCACTGTCTATGTACTCCTTGAATTCCTGCACATATTTTTCAGCCGCTTTGTGGTCCGAACTGGCAGCCTCACCATGCCTTATCACACTATGGATGCCACTACGCTTCTAAATCTCTCAAACCAACCTTTGCTGGCCTTAAATTCACTCACATCATCACTAGTTGCAGGCATTTTTTTAATTAAATCCTCATGCAACTTCCTAGCCTTTTCACATATGATCGCTTGAGAGACGCTATCTCCTGCTAGCTGTTTTTCATTTATCCACACCAATAAGAGTCTCTCAACATCTTCCATCACTTGCGATCTTTTGTTTTGAAAACACAGTTAAACCTTTGGCAAGAACAGCTTCCTTGATTGTCTTTCGGTGCCCACAATAGTAGCGATGGTTGATTGGGTTTCTTGTACAACTTGACTAGGTCGGCGATACGCACTCCACTTTCATACTTATCAATGATCTCTTTCTTCATTTCAATGGGAATTCTCACCCTTATTGGTGTACGGTTGGCACTAGAAGCTTTCTTGGGGCCCATGGTCACTTATTTTCCAGAAACAGCACCGAAAACACTGTAATAATACGAAATATTCCGAGTGTATGCTTGGATGTTACCGCGGAGGCTGGCTGGTAAACAATGGCACGGGCGGCACATGTGAGGCTGGCTGAGGGCGCACATTGGACGTGTCTCGGACGAAAATCGGTGAGCGGGTTTTTAATCGGTATGCGCGGCAAAAATTTTGCGATTAAAGTAAGCGGTATGCGGAATAATCGCTATGTGATGCCATCGTTATGCGGGGGTCCACTGTATATGCTTGGACCGTTTACAGGTTAAAGTGTTGGTACCATTAAACTCTGGTACTGTCCATATCCTTGCTTGTCTGCATAGACGAATTTCTTTCTTGCCATAGATGCCTCGACAAACCACTCATCTTTTCTATGATTCACCTCATCTTTCGTAAGCCTACCTGCTGACTTATCTACTCCCACATACTGAATCTAAATACATCCACTATATATGGTTGTGTGCGAGCATGTTAGGTAGAAGTGAGTGGAGGCAAATGGTTTGTATGAATTGACATGTCGTTGAGTGCGAGCAAGGTAACATTTATGAAAGGATTCAGGGAAACCAATTAGCTGAACTTAATCCTGGAGGTGAGTAGTACAGTGCCTGCAGTCTGATGGACGGGGGGTGGTGGTGGTGGGAAGTATGGTGCCTTCACTCTGAAGCATGAGTGAGGATGTTACAGTTCTGGAGGTGGGAAGTACAGTGCCTGTACTCTGAAGGATGGGTAGTACAGTGCCTGTACTCTGAAGGATGGGTAGTACAGTGCCTGTACTCTGAAGGATGGGTAGTACAGTGCCTGTACTCTGAAGGATGGGTAGTACAGTGCCTGTACTCTGAAGGATGGGTAGTACAGTGCCTGTACTCTGAAGGATGGGTAGTACAGTGCCTGTACTCTGAAGGATGGGTAGTACAGTGCCTGTACTCTGAAGGATGGGTAGTACAGTGCCTGTACTCTGAAGGATGGGTAGTACAGTGGCCTGTAAATCTGTAAGGATGGGTAGTACAGTCCTGTACTCTGAAGGGATTGGTAGTACAGTGCCTGTACTCTGAAGGATGGGTAGTACAGTGCCTGTACTCTGAAGGATGGGTAGTACAGTGCCTGTACTCTGAAGGATGGGTAGTACAGTGCCTGTACTCTGAAGGATGGTAGTACAGTCCTGTACTCTGAAGGATGGGTAGTACAGTGCCTGTACTCTGAAGGATGGGTGTACAGTGCCTGTACTCTGAAGGATGGGTAGTACAGTGCCTGTACTCTGAAGGATGGGTAGTACAGTGCCTGTACTCTGAAGGCTGGGTAGTAGTGGGTAGTACAGTGCCTGTACTCTGAAGGATGGATGGGTGGTAACTTACCGTGTCAGTTTTAAAGTTTTGTTTCAATGTAGTTCTTTGGTCATTATCCAGGCCATCCATATTTTGAAGAAAATGGGGCACAAACGCTGCAAAAAATGTAGTGAAATCCACCGATGCCATATTATATACTGTAATGGTGATCTGCCAAGTAAAAAAATTCAATGATTAACGTCTAGTTCAAAGTTATGTTAAATGTCCCTTTTATATACACCTACCATCTGACTTACGACCTACTCGACTTATGACCGTGTTTTTTTATGCCAAATTTCTGGGAAATAAACAAGTGTTTGTGTTGCACACAGTGTTTATCCTAAACCTTACAGTATAAAATACAGTACTAACAGCATAAAAAGTAAAGTAAAACATGAAATACCAAAATAAAACAATAAAATAAAGTCATTACAAAAAGGTTTTATTGATATTCAGTAGTAAAGTTCGACTTTCATCCATTTCGACTTACGGCCGGTTTCTCGGAACCGAACTTGGCTGTAAGTCGGATGGTAGGTGTATTTTGTACCATGCCACTAGGTTGGTGCTGCCATCTGGTGGGTGCTAGGCCAAGCCTGGCTGACCAGGCAAGCACCAGACGAGCCTGGCCTAAGGTCGTGCAACTCATCCAAGGTCAATGTATATATCCCAACAATGGTTACAAAAGTTAGTGGGTCAAATAATACCTAATAATACACACTGTCAGCATCATACACTGATAGCATTACTAACAAACTCGTAACTGTTTTAATACATGTTGCCAGTGATATACAAGTGACTACTGACACTAGTAACTAGGAATCCTGGTTCAAGACCATATCCTACCCAACCTCTCTCCACACAAGGAGGCCTGGTCACAGACCGGGCCGCGGGGGCGTTGACCCCCGAAACTCTCTCCAGGTAAACTCCAGGTAAACACTTCCCTCTCTCCTTCCATTCCTACCTACTTACCTCCCTCCCTGCCTGCCTGCCTCTCAATGTAAATCTTCAGCATGTGAAACGCTCTGGAATATATGACAAATGACAATACGTACTGTATATATAACCATTTTACCTAGAAAGGGAAGTTCCTAGTACAAACTATTCTCAGAGACAAAAGACGCGATAAACAAGCATTCTTCCATATTGCGTAAGTTTAATAACATATACGACTACGTCTTCAATAACATAATATTACTTCTTTAATGACCTATACCTATAAGACTACTTGTTTAACCCGTAAACGGTCCAAACGTATATATACGTTTGGACCGTTTTTGTTTTTTTACATTTGAAAATATGTAAAAAAAACGTAGATCTACTTTTGTAGCACTACACATGTGAACGTAGATCTGCTTGGACCGTTTACGGGTTAATAATAATTTTTTTTTTTTCAACAAGTTGGCCGTCTCCCACCGAGGCTGGGTGACCCAAAAAGAAAGAAAATCCCCAAAAAGAAAATACTTTCACCATCATTCAACACTTTCACCTCACTCGCACATTATCACTGTTTTTGGAAATAAATGGTATAAAATACCGACACAATGGAAATATAAACACACATGCAGTATAATGTGATCCTTTATTGACTACGTTTCGCCCACACAGTGAGTTTTGTGACTTGAAAAAGCTCACTGTGTGGGCGAAACGTAGTCAATAAAGGATCACATTATACTGCATATGTGTTTATATTTCCATCACTGTTTTTGCAGAGGTGCTCAGAACACAACAGTTTAGAAGCATATACATATCCCTCAACATATCCCTCCAAACTGCTAATATCCTGAACCCCTCCTTTAGAGTGCAGGCATTGTATGTAGTACTTCCCATTTCCAGGACTCAAGTCTGGCTATACAAAAATAACCAGTTTCCCTGAATCCCCTCACTAAATATTACCCTGCTCACACTCCAACAGATCGTCAGGTCCCAAATACCATTCGTCTCCATTCACTCCTATCGAACACGCTCACACGCCTGCTGGAAGTCCAAGTCCCTCACCCACAAAACCTCCCTTACCCCTTCCTTCCAACCTTTTCAAGGACAACCCCTACCCCGCCTTCCTTCCCCTACAGATTTATACGCTCTTCATGTCATTCTACTTTGATTCATTCTCTCTAAATGACCAAACCACCTCAACAACCCCTCTTCAGCCCTCTGACTAATACTTTTATTAACTCCACACCTTCTCCTAATTTCCACACTCCGATTTTTCTGCATAATATTTACACCACGCATTGCCCTTAGACAGGACATCTCCACTGCCTCCAACCGTCTCCTCGCTGCTGCATTTACCACCCAAGCTTCACACCCATATAAGAGTGTTGGTACTACTATACTTTCATACATTCCCTTCTTTGCCTTCATAGATAACGTTTTTTGTCTCCACATATACCTCAACGCACCACTCATCTTTTTTCCCTCATCAATTCTATGATTAACCTCATCCTTCATAAATCCATCCGCCGACACGTCAACTCCCAAGTATATCTGAAAACATTCACTTCTTCCATACTCCTCCTTCCCAATTTAATATCCAATTTTTCTTTATCTAAATCATTTGATACCCTCATCACCTTACTCTTTTCTATGTTCACTTTCAACTTTCTACCTTTACACACATATAAACAATAAATCAATGTGTTAATAAAAGTCTTACCTCTTCCTGCAAGAGATCTTGAGAACGGTGAACCAACACTTGCAACAACACAGTGATGAACTGCCCCAGCATAGAGTTACGGAACACTCCCTGTTGTGTAAAGATCGAGGCACGGCAATATTAATTAAGGTCTTTCTTTATTTTTTAATACATCTTAATACAATGAATAATGTTCAATAATAACCCAAATGGAAACAGAAACTCAGAAGATTAATTGATCTATATACAGTAGTGGCCTGGTATCCATGGGGGATATGTTCCAAGAACAATCATGAATGCCCAAAACTGTGGATAGTAGCGACCCCTATACATGTATACAGTGGAACCTCGGTTGTCGACTGCATTACTTGTTGAATAAACTGGATTTTGAATGAGGCGTTTGAGAAAAAAATGTCCTGGTTTTCACATTAACTCTTGGTTGTTGATGGTCAAGTTTTTGTATGTACAGAACAGGACAAAGCAGCTCAGGTCACTTGCTCACAGAATGCGCACTGGACAATGGGTCAACAGTGTGGGTATGAGTCAGTTTAGCTGCTAACTTGAATGCTGGAAACACCTCTTGAGCTTTTGTTGTGTATCTTGTGAACTTTTTTTTTTGTTATTTTGCAGTTTTGGTGCAATTTTTTTGTGAGTGAATATTGTGTCCCTGTGGAAGACCTTGGGCCTAGAGGTGACTGAAGATGATGTGGAGGAGTTGGTGGAGCACAGAACTGAACTCATCACAGAACTTGTAGACCTTCAGAAAGAGCAGCAACAGATTACAGCAGAGGAGCTGTCATAGGAAGAAGAGTAGGGTTTGCATACTGGTTGGAGAGCCGGTCGTAAGTCTAAGTGGCTGGTAAACAAGTACGTCACTAAATGAGGAGAGGCTGTATTTATCTGTATATCGTATCATATTTACATTTAGCTTATGATGGGTCGCAACATAACCCCATCATAAGCCAAGGAGTATGTGTATGTCATTTTTGTGCACAATCTGAAGAGTTATGAGAAAAAACTAGCATTAATTGATTTGACAATAAATCAAAATTCGCACTATTCAAACTGTGTGTACTTTTTGTGCACAACTTGAAAAGATTGAGGGAAAAACTAAAATTAATTAATTTTGCACTAAATCAAAATTTGCACTAGTTAAGACCTGGTTGTACTCTAAATTTTGATTTATCAAGAAAATAAAAATACATACCTTATGATATAACTTATACTTGGAATTAAGGGACTCAAGAGCTTCCAGATTATGCTTAAATATTGTTATATCTGGCTGCATGAACGACTGACCAAAGGCTTGCATGATCTGGATGAACTGGGCTTCATTCTCTATAGAATCCCAGTTTCCAGCTCCCAGTGATATATGCACAGATGGTCTGAAAAAGACAAAATATTCACTGCAAAATAGTTACTGCAGAATATTCTCAGCAAAATATTCTCTGCATTAGCAAAATATATTAACTAATACATTCTCAAGAATAATACTCCTTTGAAAATACGCCAATATGTCAAAGGATAATAGTCAGCAAAATATATAGTCTAAAGATTAGTAATTATCCAAGTGGAAAAGAATCCTTCCTCCATAAGTCAAGAGTGTCGTAAGAGGCGACTAAAACACCGGGAGTAAGGGGTTAGTACCCCTTTCCACTGTATAAATTACCAAAGAATAAAAAGTCACTGGAACAATACACAAATAACCCAGACATAGAAGAAACTTATGACGACATTTCAGTGCAGTTTGGTCCATTAACTAGTCACACTAACACACAAAGGTGAGGGAGACAGTACATACAGGAGAGGACAAAGATGAGACAAGAGAGGAACAGGTAAGTGGAGAAGTAGTGGTAGAGGTATTGCGTTAGTGGACCGAAACATCGTTATAGCCTCTTTCTCCTATGCACGTGTTATGTGTATATATTACTAAATGTGAATAGAAAAAACTTTTGTTTTTCTTTTTAGGTCACCTGCCTTGGTGGGAGGCAGCTGGCATGTTTAATCAATCACAGTGGAACCTGGGTGTTGGAACTTAATTGGTTCCTAGGTGGTGTTTGAACTTAATTGGTTCATTAGTGGTGTTGGAAATGGGAAAAGCTTAATGTGGGAAAGAGTATCTGCCAGGTTTTAATTACGAGTCCTACACACTGAAGGATGCTGAACTGACTCTTGCAAAAGTCTCTTAGAGTTAGGTCAGTGTCAAAGGTCACTTCAAAGCACTTTTGAAATGGGGCTTTCCTGTAAAGTTTTCTTACAAGCAAATTGTAAACAGGTCAGCACGTTTGGACTCCACGAAAATCTTCAAAGACCGGCTCAATTTTTCTGGACCAAAACTGTTCGGACTCCAGTTCGTTTGAGGTGCAGTATGTTCAAACACCGAGGTTTCACTGTATGTTCAGTGTTAGAAATACTCACTTGAAGAAATACTTCCAGTTATGTTCTAGAAGGCAGCGAAGCAGCTCAAACAAGGGACCCTTAACTTCTGGAGAGACTCGCTCCGACACCACAGGATAGATGTGTTCCATGCACAGTGTGATGGTGTTTGGGATAAACTGCCTGAACGACTGTCCAGGTTCACTTACTATCAACTCCAGCAGTTTGAGAAATCTAGGAATAATTAAAAATGAGAAACTGAATTGACCTGTCAATGCTCAGTAATACCCCACATGTAGACAGAAAGTCAGAAGATTAATGGATCTGTCTATTTCAACCCACTTCTGGGGTCCTCTTCAGAGGGTTGCAATATAGAGATCAATTAACCTCCTGTGTTTCTGTCTCCATGTGGGTTATTATTCAGTACAGTTAAGTCCTCAACTTACAAACACAAGGTACAAACACTTTTTCTTTTTTATTCAACACATCGGCCACTTCCCACCGAGGCAGGGTGACCCAAAAAGAAAGAAAAAGCTTTCGCCATCATTCAACACTTTCACCATCACTCATACATAATCATTGTCTTTGCAGAGGCGCTCAGATACGACAGCTTAGATGTCCCTCCAAACTGCCAACATTCCAAACCCCTCCTTGAAAGTGCAGTCATTGTACTTCCCATTTCCAGGACTCAAATCCAGCTAACTGGTTTCCCTGAATCCCTTCATAAAATAAAATTATTATACAGGTGGTCCTCGACTTACAATGGTTTGACTTTGGATATTTCAACTTTACAATGGTGTGGCAACAATTACTTTGGATGAAATTACCCAGCATGAAGGCAGCAAGTCCCTAACTTGTATTCATTTACTGACCTTTCAATACTGGTATTTAGTTAGTTACAGTAATTATTTGTTTATTGACTTATTCAGTGACAGTAGTTATAAATTATTTATTTAGCATATTATATTCATATTCGACTTACAATATTTTTGACCTGCAATACAGTGGTACCTTGACTTACAAGTTTAATTCATTCTGTGACTGAGCTCATAACTCAATCTGCTTGTATATCAAATCAATTTTCCTCACTGAAATTAACTGAAATGCCATTAATCCATTCCAGCCCCCAAAAAACCACCCCAATTTTTTTGTTACGGGTTTTTAAATAAGAAAAATGTATTTATAAATCCACCACACTCACTACTCCATCCACCACCCTCACTACTACACCCACCACCCTCACTACTACACCCACCACCCTCACTACTACACCCACCACCCTCACGACTACACCCACCACCATATCTACTCCATCTACCATTATTACTACTCCATCCACCACCATCACTACTCCATCCACCACCATCACTACTCCATCCACCACCATCACTACTCCATCCACCACCATCACTACTCCATCCACCACCATCACTACTCCATCCACCACCATCTCTACTTCACCCACCACCATGACTACTCCACTGACCACTATAAGTACTCCACCCACCACTATCAGTTCTCTGTCCACCTTAATGTTTCTGGAAAAACTGTGAGTGTTAAAATGGAGGTTACCTCTTTCCCGAATTTATACGAGAACCAAACAAGGGTCGAGGTGCCTCACTACAATCTGGGATTAACGTGGGAGTATTATCCTTCCGATTATGTCTTGGACGAGCATGTGGGATGGGATGAAGTACCTGACATTCCTTTGGGTACAGAGTTGGATTTGACTTCAGATACACCGCCAACTAGTGGCTGCGTATCTGAAGCTCGATCGTAACTCAGATTTTGGCTTGAAACTCAGAGCAAAATAGTGACTGAGTAACGGCTCGTAAGTTGGGGCACTTGTAAGTCAAGGTACCACTGTATTTTCAACTTAAAATGGGTTTGTCAGAACGTAATCCCATCATAAGTCAAGGACTACCTGTAATATGCAAATGTGGAATTTCTTATACACATCTTACCTGAGGGCATTCCGGGAGTCAACACCCCCGCAGCCCAGTCCATGAACATATCCCTGACAATTCCCATTGAAAGCGTGTAATACACAAGATTCTTACTTGTCAACGACCCTGACAGCAGCGGGATTGTCAGCACTGATAGCCAGCTGAAGGTGATGTCTGGTAGTGAAGACATCAAGGAATGTCTGTATGGTGGCTTCCACTCTGCCAGGACCCAGTTGAACTCTCAGCACCTGCATCACCACCACCATCAGTGATAAGATCTCCTCACATACACCTGATGGGTAGACAGTACTATATTACACCACCACCATCAGTAACATATCACACACATCTAATGGACAGACAGAACTATATTATTCCCAGCATTCTTCATCTCTCTTAACCCTCTGAGTGTTTTGGTTGTATAAAAACGTCTTACTAGCCAATGTGTTTGACGTATATATACTGAAAAATTCTGGCGGGAGAAGGCTGGTAGGCCCACATTTGAGAGAATGGGTTTGTGTGGTCAGTGTGCACAGTATAAAAAAATCCTGCAGCAAGCAGTGCATGATGAGGAAAAAAAAAACTCCGACCGTGTTTTTGGATTAAAACGCCGACTTTGAGGTGTATTTTCATATAGTATTTATGGTTGTATTCTCATTTTCTTGGTCTCATTTGACAGAATGCAAGATATGTTACAGAAATAGAGATGATTTTGATTGGTTTCAAGATGAAAAGTACCTTGAAGTTGAGCTCAAAGTAACAGCAATATTAAATTTTTGCCAATACAGTGGACCCCCGGTTAACGATATTTTTTCACTCCATAAGTATGTTCAGGTGCCAGTACTGACCGAATTTATTCCCATAAGGAATATTGTGAAGTAGATTAGTCCATTTCAGACCCCCAAACATACACGTACAAACGCACTTACATAAATACACTAACATAATTGGTCGCATTCGGAGGTAATCGTTATGCGGGGGTCCACTGTATTCCAGAGTACACAAATGACATCACTCGTCCAATACGCATCCAACTGGCTAATCTAATACGCATTTGGGAATGTACTGATGTTATTTATACAATTATTACAATAATGCAGTAGTCTGCATAACAGTAAATCTTCTATTCTTTGTGTGAATAAAAATTCAATATATAAAGCAAGAGTAATATAAGAGGGACCTGGAGACGTGGTTGATGAACAGAAAAAAATTTTATTTTAGTGCCAGGAATGTCTGCATTGTTTATTCTGGGCCCTATTTTGAAATTGGCATCTTTTTTAGTTTGCATGAAATTGTCCAAATTGCCAATTTCTGACCACTTTATTGGGTAGTTGAAATCAGTAAATGGGTGGTTTCTTGTACTCAATTGATAGAACAAATGGAGTTCTAGAGAAATAGCTATGAGTTTGGTCGACTGGAACAATGGAACTGGCCAAAAACAGGGCTCAAATTGGGTGAAATTGCTGATGCGTAAATATCGCAAGCTTCGTGAGAGCGTAATTCCGTAACTTTTCCCTCAAATTTTGTATTTTTGGTGTCATAACCATCGGGAAAAGATTCTCTATCATTTCATAAGAAAAAAAAAATTATTTTTTTCTTTTTCAAATATTTTGTGACACTGAGACACACTAGGATTTTGGGTTAATATGCATAAAAAATGAAAAGTCTTCATAGAAAACAAATGCCACTCAGGTTTATAAATATACAGACAGGAGATACAACCCCATGTTTACACTACAGGAGGAACCTAAATTGTTCGTATACACACATGCATGAGGAGCCTCACATGAAGGGAGTCAGGGAAACATGAGGAGCCTCACATGAAGGGATTCAGGGAAACATGAGGAGCCTCACATGAAGGGATTCAGGGAAACATGAGGAGCCTCACATGAAGGGAGTCAGGGAAACATGAGGAGCCTCACATGAAGGGTCAGGGAAACATGAGGAGCCTCACATGAAGGGATTCAGGGAAACATGAGGAGCCTCACATGAAGGGATTCAGGGAAACATGAGGAGCTCACATGAAGGGAGTCAGGAAACATGAGGAGCCTCACATGAAGGGATTCAGGGAAACATGAGGAGCCTCACATGAAGGGATTCAGGGAAACATGAGGAGCCTCACATGAAGGGATTCAGGGAAACATGAGGAGCCTCACATGAAGGGATTCAGGGAAACATGAGGAGCCTCACATGAAGGGATTCAGGAAACTGGAGATTTTCCTGACTCTCTTCACAAAATGTTACCTTCCTTACACTTCAACAGCATGTCAAGTCCCAAAAACAACTTGTCTCCAATCACTTCTATCTGACACGCTAACATGCCTGCACAGCACTCCATATTTATCATCAAAAAATATTTATGATGCAGGAAATGTGTAGATTTCAGAGAATGTGACAAATGGTGAAAAAAATGGAAGGTGTGTATAGGAGGCCATGGACGAAGTAAAATAGAATGAACGATGGTGAAAAACCCATCATATTTACAACATCAAATGGAGAACTCAAACAGCCTTTAAGCCCTTTTAATAAGGGATTTAAACAGCCTTTCATATGTGTAAATCCCTCATTGAAAAAACGAGAGGAAGCTGAAATTCATATTCAAGTTTAGTGTTAAGGATTCTTGAAGACTACAGTGTTCCTCACCAACTTCAAGGCTGAGGGACTGATTACCTCATCTTTTGTACTGCAGGGACCCACATATACAGCACCTACATTCAGTGTTCCATGTTTTTGTTGGCTTTCAATTGAGTCATTGTTCCATCTGCCAATGACAATCTATGGTGGGTGGAACATATTGAACAAAGGCTCATTTTGAACCCATCGATAACCTGGAATACTGAAAAGGTGCTGTATACGTGGGGCTCTGCTGTGTATGTGGGGTTCTGCTGTATATGTGGGGCTCTGCTGTGTATGTGGGGTTCTGCTGTGTATGTGGGGCTCTGCTGTGTATGTGGGGTTCTGCTGTATATGTGGGGTTCTGCTGTATATGTGGGGTTCTGCTGTATATGTGGGGTTCTGCTGTATACGTGGGGCTCTGCTGTGTATGTGGGGTTCTGCTGTATATGTGGGGTTCTGCTGTATATGTGGGGTTCTGCTGTATACGTGGGGCTCTGCTGTGTATGTGGGGTTCTGCTGTATATGTGGGGCTCTGCTGTGTATGTGGGGTTCTGCTGTATATGTGGGGTTCTGCTGTATATGTGGGGTTCTGCTGTATATGCAGGGCCCTGCTGTATATAGTTCTATAGTCTTCCTATCAAGTCCCTGAATTTATATTGATAAAGCCCCTGGATGGCAAAACGTCTACAAATTAAAGATACCCACATGTTGCACATGTCTAATTCTTAATCAAAGATTAGTGTGTCCTGTAGCTCAATTTGTATTGCACTCAGCTCACACACAGATCCACGCTTCAATACCTGATACAGGTGAAAACATAAGGACGTGTTTCCTTATGACACCTGCTGTCACTGTTCACCTAGCAGTAAAATAGGTACCTGGGTGTTAGTCACCTTACACCTGCAGCGTGGGGTTGCATCCTGGGACAAAACTGACCTAATTTGCGGGAAATGCTCTGCATAACAAGGGGCTTTCTATATAGTAGTATGTTACTGATGTCAGCTATGGTCTGTATACCTTATACATGTACTTGTAGAAATAAATATTATTATTATTATTTTTTTTTTTTAACAAGTTGGCCGTCTCCCACCAAGGCAGGGTGACCCGAAAAGAAAGAAAATTCCCAAAGAGAAAATATTTTCATCATTCAACACTTTCACCTCACTCATACATAATCACTGTTTTTGCAGAGGTACCCAGAACACAACAGTTTAGAAGCATATACGTATAAAGATATACAACATATCCTTCCAAACTGCCAATATCCCAAACCCTTACAATAATTAGATAAAAGAGTGAAGGAGAATGCATCTATGAGAGCTGAGAGCACACTGCAAGTACAAACTCTTGAAAGTTACCAAGACTTACTGGAATGCTGGACATAGATGGGGAACAGTAGTATGGCTTGGTGAATGATGTCTTGAACACAGTGGTAGTATAGTTCCCGGCTAGCCTTATCTGTGTTGTTGAGTTCCTCCACCTGGTAACGGATCACCGACAGTGTGTCGCACAGCTTTGGAGCCACTGAGACCAATGGGAATTTTAATGTGATGCATGCAATACAGGTGCTCGACTTACGATGGAGTTACGTTCCAACGAACCCGTTGTAAGTTGAAAATATCAGAAGTCGAATATGAATACACGATAAATATGTAAATACAGATGGTCCTCGACTTACAATGGTTCGAATAACAATATTTCAACTTTATGATGGTGTGGCAACAATTACCAGATAAAATTTAAGATAATTACCCAGCATGAAGGCATCAAGTCCCTAACTTGTATTCATATATTAACATTTCAATACCAGTATTTAATTAATTATTTGTTTACTGACTTATTCAGTGACTAGTTATTTATTTACGTACTTACTTATTTAGCATATCATATTCATATTCGACTTACGGTAATTTTGACTTACGATGGATTCACAGGAACGCAACCTCATCAGAAGTCGAGGACCACCTGTAAATAATTACGTCACTGAATAAGTAAATAAACAAATAATTACTGTAACTAACTAAATACCAGTACTTAAAAGTCAATAAATGAATACAAGTTTATTTTATCAATAAATTGTACTGTACTGTACAGCATCATTATCAAACCATCGTAAAGTCAAAATACTGCAAGTCAAACCACCGTACAGCAAGGAGCATCTCTATTTAGACACAAAATTGTAACAGTACAGTTGCAAACAAACCACAGAACAGGTAGGAATTTTACCCATGACGAGTATAAATATACGTAGCTGGATAAATCTTATTCCAGTCAGCTGGCTCATTTAACACACTGGCCTGGGTTCAAACCCCACCCATTCTGTGGTTTTCTATGCAATATCTAGCATGGCTTTACAAAAAAATATACAGTAAAACTCCCATATCCACAGATTCAGTATCAGTGGTTTTAGTTATCCATGGTTTACTGTGGCCCAAAAATAACCCTTAATTCTGCTTAATAATAATGGCCCCAAAGTGCAAAATAGCGATGGTGACAGTTCAAGTCTAAGAGAAGTTGTGAAGCGTTTCCCATAAGTTAAAAAGTGATAATTCTCCACTTACTTTGCATAATTTATCAATTAAACTTTATCATAGGTATGTATGTACACCAAAAATGACTATATAGTGTTCAGTGGTATCCAGGGTTTCTGACATCCATGGTAGTTCTTGGAAGGTATCCCCCACAGATACGAGGGAGACTACTGTAATATGGCTGAAGCGATAACTAAAATACTTTTGAAAGTAAAACCTAACAGTTGAAATAAGTGTTGTGTAACTTAAAGGAGCAAGTATCTGACACTTGAAATTTAGTACATTATAAAATACAGATTTTTTTTCTTACATTTTAAAATTTACAAACTATGAGATGTTATCTTACTTGTGTTTGTTTCAAAGCCTAGCTCTACGTAAGGTATTGTACCACTTCCTAGGAAGTGACCTAGATGAACAGGGGCAACAGACGTCAGGAAAAACACCCAACATCTCTACCCACCCCAGGATTAAAGCCAGTTTCTTTGGCTGTCAGCTGAAGGTGCCACAATTAGTCTATGAGCCACTTTTTTATAAATTAAGAAGGCCATCTCAGAAAATTAATTCTGCAAAAAAAAAAAAAAGCAAGCAAAAGTGCACTTACTAGTTTCCTGAAGAGTTTTGTCATCTACCAATGCCTGCACGTCAATTTTCCGCACTTCACACGTAAATGAGTTGATGAAAGATGTGAGGTGGTGTTTACGTGTCTCTAGCCTATGATCAACCACAAAGCTGGGCCAGGGTAGCAGAAGAAAGTTGACTAAAGCGCGCAGAATTAATCCTCGCACCTGAAGTGGAATACCCAAGAATAAACTATTTTATTCATTATAAACTATGCAAAACACAAATTAGCCAATATATTTATTTTTTTTATTAACACAACAGCTGTTTCCCACCTGAAAAAGAAGAAACACTTTCATCATCATTCACACCATCACTGTTTTGCCAGGTGTGTCTACACTATAGTTAGAAAACTGCAACACAACAACACCCTTCCTTCAGAGTACAGACACTGTACTTCCCATCTCCAGGACTCAAGTCCTGGAGGCGCAAGACACAAATTAGCCCGTGTTGGAAAGAAAATCATTGCCACAGAAATTGTAAAATCAAACTTCATAAATAACAAAAAAGGCACAATACCGTGACTGGAACGATACACAAATAACCCGCACATAAAAGAGAGAAGCTTACAACGACGTTTCGGTCCGACTTGGACCTTCATGTTACTAAAGAAGAAAAAGTCAGTACTGTAACAAGAACAATACACAGATAACTCGCACACAGGAGAGAGAAACTCATGACGACATTTTGGTCTGACTTGGACCATTAACCCTTTCAGGGTCCGTCCCATAGATCTACGGCTTTACGGTGAGTGTCCAAACCGTAGATCTACGCCATGAGCTCAGCTCACTCGGATAAACTGTGAGTGGTACATTTGGGCCTAGATATGAGAGAATACATCTATGTGGTATGTGTGCACCACATAAAACAGATCCTGCAGCACACTGTGTATAATGAGAGAAAAAACTGAAATCATGATTTTTCGATTAGATTTAGATTTTGCCACCGAAGTGGCTAGTTTATTGTGCACCCCATATCCATCCTGTGGACGGTAGCGCGAGAGCATGTGGATACACAAAAGGCCTAGGAACTAGGCCCCAAAGGGTTAACAGGAATACATATGGATTTATATCTACATATCTATAGTTCACTTATCTGTTACAAGCAAATTTAGGAAATTTGCTTAGTATATCTGGTATCTTATTTTCATTAATAAGATATCTTGACATGTCACATACGTTATTATACTGTCTGTCTCTGTATTCCTCAATAAGTGGACAATTAAGCACATAGTGTTCAAGAGAGTGACCATATGCCTGATCACATAATTTACATTTAGTTTGATCATCATCTGTGTGTCTCCCAAACTGCCAGAAGTACTTGTAACCAAGCCTAAGCCTGGCCACTACAACATCAGTCAGTCTGTTCACATTGCAAGTTGCTCCATAAACATACTTATCTACGTTCATGTTATCATAGTGGGTTATAGATCTACTCAGGCTTCTAACTGCATTCCTATAACAATCATCTTCATTATTTACTTCTCTCCTAATATTATTCCTAATGCTAGACACAGTTATACCAAAGTTATATTCTACGTTCTCCTTCTGGATACTCTTCTTGGCTAACATATCAACTTTATCATGAAGGAGTAATCTTAAAACAGCAACTTTGCAGTGTTTTTTTGTATGTTTTTTATAGTTGTATTTGCGATTTCTTGGTCTCATTTGATAGAATGGAAGACATATTACAGAAATAGAGATGATTTTGATTGGTTTTAGCACTGGAAATGGCTTGAAACTGAGCTCAAAGTAGCGGAAATGTTAAATTTTTGCCGATATTCAAGAGTAAACAAACGACCTCACACGTCTAATACACGTCAGCTGGTGGGTCTAATATACATTCACAAATATGGTGATGATATTTATACAATTATTACAGTATTGCATAACAGTAAATCTTCTATTTTTTTGGTTGTGAATAAAAATTCATTATGTGAATAAAAATCAAAATGGAAATTTATTTGTAAAGCCTCAAAACATAACTAGTGAACAGAGGAAATGTTAGTTTAGTGCCAGGAATGCCTACATTGTTTATTCTGGACCCCATTTTGAAATTGGAATATTTTGAACTTTGTGTTAAATTGGCCAAATTAACAAATTTTTGATCACTTTATTTTGTAGTTGAAACAGTTGACTTGGCGATTTCTTGTGCTCAATCGATAGAATAGAAGTAATACTAGTGAAATAGCTAAGAATTTGGTTGATTGGAATAATGTAATTGGCCTAAAATGGGAGTCAAAGTCGGCAAAATTGCCGATTCGTAAATATCGCTGACACATCAAAATTCGCGAGAGCATAATTTCGTCAATTTTCCACCTAATTTCGTACTTTTTGTTTTATTACCTTCACAAAAGATTCTCTACGATTTCATAAGAAAAAATAACAAATTTTTTTTTTGAAAATTCTTGGACACTGATGCGTGACTCCAGATTTGGGCCTTGGACCCTGAAAGGGTTAAGATGTCCCATGGCTGGATTGGTAGCACATTCAGCTCACACACTGAGGTCCAGGAATCAATCACCAGTATGGCTGGAAAACATTAGGATGTGTTTCCGTATAACACCTGCTATCACTGTTCACCCATCAGTAAAATAGGTAACCTGGGTGTTAGTGGACTGGTATGGGTTGCATCATGGGACAAAATTGACCTAATTTGGCAGAAATATTCTGAATAAGAAGGGGCTTTCTATATAATATGTCACTGATTATGTATTATTGATACACTGTGATTATGTATGAGTGATGGTGAAAGTGCTGAATGATGAAGGTTTTTTTCTTTCATTTTGGGTGCCTTGCCTCGGTTGGAGCAGCCGACGTGTTGAAAAAAAAAAAATGTCACTGATATCAGCTACGGTCTGTATACCTTGTATGTGTACTTGTATACCTAGAGAGGGTTTGAAGGGTCAATGCTCCTGCAGCCTGGTGTGTGACCAGGCCTCACAGTGGATCAGGACCTGATCAACCAGGCTGTTACTGCTGACCGCAGTAAAGTAGTTAATGGTCCAAATTGGGCTAAAACATCGTCATAAATTTCTCCCTCCTAATGAACTGAGATACTGGAACTGAAATCAGTGTTTAATATTGCTAAATCTATTTTGACTAACTTAGCTGATTCATGAAGATTTATCTAAAAATTAGAAATATATATGATAACTATTTCAATAGTCATCCTTAACAAGAATACACATGCTAGTTGTCTCCCACTGAGGAAGGGTGACCTGAAAAAGAAACACTTTCAACATCATTCACTCCATCACTGTCTTGCCAGAGGCCCACAGATGCAATAGAATAGACGTCACTCCAAAAGGCAATTATAATTATCATTAATGCATTAAGATTTACAAAAATTATTAAAGGTAATTCTAATTAAGATGAAGATTAGGCATAGATGATGTTACTAGCCCCTTGCTATCAGCATTCAGTAATTTATACAGTAGAAGGTATTACTAGCACCTTGCTCCTGGCACTTTAGTTGCCTCTCATGATACACAAGGCTTATAGAGGAAGAATTCTGCTCCACTTCCCCATGGAAAAGTGGTGAAGACAACTTATTATAATAAGTGAACAACTAACCTTTATATCAGATGAAAGTGATGGAGCTTGTACATATAATGACTGTACTTGGTTCATCTCCAGTGCCACAGGTGAACGCATCATAACAGATAATGACAGCAGCAGCTGTACGCCACAGTTGATAATGAGTGGCGGAGCCTTCATAATGAAAAATAAATAATACAGTTAATTCATTATTCAGACTACATTAATCACACTACATTCCATTATTCGAAGTACATTATTCTGACTACATTACATTAACATGCTGACTATTTACCTTTCCATCACATTAACACATCAACCATTTACTACCAAGGCAGAACTATACATTACATTGCTCTAAGTTAAAAGGTCACTGATAACAAAGTTACACTGTGTTCCACCTATACTTCTCTCTCTCTACATTTTATATTAAATGGCTTGTGGAATGCTACAAATATGAGCCCCCATTGTATGGTACTGCTAGGGAAATCTCAGTCATAGAATTGATAGTCATAGAATTGATGAGGGAAAAAAGGTGAGTGGTGCATTGAGGTATATGTGGAGTCAAAAAACGTTATCTATGGAGGCAAAGAAGGGAATGTATGAAAGTATAGTAGTACCAACACTCTTATATGGGTGTGAAGCTTGGGTGGTAAATGCAGCAGCGAGGAGACGGTTGGAGGCAGTGGAGATGTCCTGTTTAAGGGCAATGTGTGGTGTAAATATTATGCAGAAAATTCGGAGTGTGGAAATTAGGAAAAGGTGTGGAGTTAATAAAAGTATTAGTCAGAGGGCAGAAGAGGGGTTGTTGAGGTGGTTGATCATTTAGAGAGAATGGATCAAAGTAGAATGACATGGAAAGCATATAAATCTATAGGGGAAGGAAGGCGGGGTAGGGGTCGTCCCGAAAGGGTTGGAGAGAGGGGGTAAAGGAGGTTTTGTGGGAAAGGGGCTTGGACTTCCAGCAAGCATGCGTGAGCGTGTTAGATAGGAGTGAATGGAGACGAATGGTACTTGGGACCTGACGATCTGTTGGAGTGTGAGCAGGGTAATATTTAGTGAAGGGATTCAGGGAAACCGGTTATTTTCATATAGTCGGACTTGAGTCCTGGAAATGGGAAGTACAATGCCTGCACTTTAAAGGAGGAGTTTGGGATATTGGCAGTTTGGAAGGATATGTTGTGTATCTTTATACGTATATGCTTCTAAACTGTTGTGTTCTGAGCACCTCTGCAAAAACAGTGATAATGTGTGAGTGTGGTGAAAGTGTTGAATGATGATGAAAGTATTTTCTTTTTGGGGATTTTCTTTCTTTTTTGGGTCACCCTGCCTCGGTGGGAGACGGCCGACTTGTTGAAAAAAAAAAAAAAAATATTTTCATGTTTTTCTTTGAGAGGCAAGCATCGCACAAATTGTAAATTGTAAATTGGCTAAACACAGCCACGTCTTGATTCATACGAATAATGAATCCCGTGAAGTGGTCACATGCAAATTCACACTATTCAAATTATGCATAATTTTCATACACAATTTGCTATGGGGAGAAAATTGCATTAATTACTTTCACACTAAATTTGCGCTAATCAAGACCCGGCTGTAAATACACACAATCTGTTTTACGAAAATTATTTAGGCTTTGAAAAATTACGAAATGAGAAAATTACAATATACAAAAAAAGTTTAATATCATATGACAAGAAATACAAAAACTTGAAATAAAAGGCCAATAACTCTGGAATTGGATTATATGTGGGACTGGGCAGGAGTTGCAACATCCCCCAATGAAAAGCAATATCAGAAACAAGGCAAGAAGTCTTCAAGATATTAGAAATACTACTGGATCAAATGTAGAAGTGGTCAAGATATCAGAAACACTGCTGGAACAAGTGCAGAAGTCTTCAAAGTATCAGAAACACTGCTGGAACAAGTGCAGAAGTCTTCAAAGTATCAGAAACACTGCGGGAACAAGTGCAGAAGTCTTCAAAGTATCAGAAACACTGCTGGAACAAGTGCAGAAGTCTTCAAAGTATCAGAAACACTGCGGGAACAAGTGCAGAAGTCTTCAAAGTATCAGAAACACTGCTGGAAACAAGTGCAGAAGTCTTCAAAGTATCAGAAACACTGCTGTAACAAGTGCAGAAGTCTTCAAAGTATCAGAAACACTGCTGGAACAAGTGCAGAAGTCTTCAAAGTATCAGAAACACTGCTGTAACAAGTGCAGAAGTCTTCAAAGTATCAGAAACACTGCTGTAACAAGTGCAGAAGTCTTCAAAGTATCAGAAACACTGCTGGAACAAGTGCAGAAGTCTTCAAAGTATCAGAAACACTGCTGTAACAAGTGCAGAAGTCTTCAAAGTATCAGAAACACTGCTGGAACAAGTGCAGAAGTCTTCAAAGTATCAGAAACACTGCTGTAACAAGTGCAGAAGTCTTCAAAGTATCAGAAACACTGCTGGAACAAGTGCAGAAGTCTTCAAAGTATCAGAAAAACACTGCTGGAACAAGTGCAGAAGTCTTCAAAGTATCAGAAACACTGCTGTAACAAGTGCAGAAGTCTTCAAGTATCAGAAACACTGCTGGAACAAGTGCAGAAGTCTTCAAAGTATCAGAAACACTGCTGGTAACAAGTGCAGAAGTCTTCAAAGTATCAGAAACACTGCTGGAACAAGTGCAGAAGTCTTCAAAGTATCAGAAACACTGCTGTAACAAGTGCAGAAGTCTTCAAAGTATCAGAAACACTGCTGGAACAAGTGCAGAAGTCTTCAAAGTATCAGAAACACTGCTGGAACAAGTGCAGAAAGTCTTCAAAGTATCAGAAACACTGCTGTAACAAGTGCAGAAGTCTTCAAAGTATCAGAAACACTGCTGGAACAAGTGCAGAAGTCTTCAAAGTATCAGAAACACTGCTGGAACAAGTGCAGAAGTCTTCAAAGTATCAGAAACACTGCTGTAACAAGTGCAGAAGTCTTCAAAGTATCAGAAAACACTGCTGGAACAAGTGCAGAAGTTTCAAAGTATCAGAAACACTGCATGGAACAAGTGCAGAAGTCTTCAAAGTATCAGAAACACTGCTGGAACAAGTGCAGAAGTCTTCAAAGTATCAGAAACACTGCTGGAACAAGTGTAAAGTCATCAAGAGGAAACTGGACAAGTATCTTCACCAGGTACCAGATTAACCTGGCTGTGATGGATATGTGGGTCCGTGGGCCTCCAGCAGTAACAGCCTGGTTGACCAGGTTAGCATCAGGCCAGCCTGGTCCATTGGCAGGCTCTGATAGTGAGACTCTCAAAGCTCATCAAAGGTAAATTTATTAAAGGGGTACCACAAGTACGCTAGGAGACAACACAATAAGTGTCAGGGGCCCCAAAACCGTTCAACTGCCTCCCAGCATACATAAGGAGGATTACCAATAACTCCCTGACTGTCTTCAAGACCCCTGGCCAACAGTAAGAACCTGGTTAATCAGGTCCTGATCTACCACCAAGCCTGGTTGATCAGGTCCTGATCCACCACCAGTCCTGGTCATGGACCGGGCCACAGGGTCACTGACTCTCAAAACCCTCTCCAGTTATACTGCAGGCACGGGTAGCCAAGGGATCATCATTCACAACTAAACTGTAATAACACAAATGCCCTGGGTTCAAAGCTCATCTGTTCTGTGGTTCGATCAATTTTATGGTCTTTTATAAGTAAAAGGGATAATGGGGTGATACACAAATAACCCGCACATAAAAGAGAGAAGCTTACGACGACGTTTCGGTCCGACTTGGACCATTGACAAAGTCACACCGAAACGTCGTCGTAAGCTTCTCTCTTTTATGTGCGGGTTATTTGTGTATCGTTCCAGTCACGGTATTGTGCCTTTTTGTTATTTAATAATGGGGTGAATTACTGAGTAACACATGCAACACTCCAACACTTAATACAACATACACTCACACAGTAATACAATCAACATTCGAACACTTAACAGAACACTAACCTCAACATTAAGAACATTAGTCGCAGCAACTAGCATCTGTTTGTTGATTGTGTGGCAGGTGTCTTGGTGTTGATGTGTTTGTGTTCCACCAGGAAACACTTGGACAAACTGCTGACCATATAACTGAGACAGCCAGTGCACCCAGGCTCTCAATGTTGACAAAACTTGTGCGTGACTGTAAAAAAATAAAAGATATGTGGAGTTAATCTTCATTTGCTGCAGAAATAATGATGCCGACTTGTTGAGGAAAAAAAAAAAAAAAAAAAAAAAATTATTATTATTAATAATAATAATACTATCTTTCCTCCGTAAGCCATGCGTGTCGTATGAGGCGACTAAAATGCCGGGAGCAATGGGCTAGTAACCCCTTCTCCTGTATACAATTACTAAAAAAGAGAAGAAGAAAAACTTTATAAAACTGGGTTGCTTAAATGTGCGTGGATGTAGTGCGGATGACAAGAAACAGATGATTGCTGATGTTATGAATGAAAAGAAGTTGGATGTCCTGGCCCTAAGCGAAACAAAGCTGAAGGGGGTAGGAGAGTTTCAGTGGGGGGAAATAAATGGGATTAAATCTGGAGTATCTGAGAGAGTTAGAGCAAAGGAAGGGGTAGCAGTAATGTTAAATGATCAGTTATGGAAGGAGAAAAGAGAATATGAATGTGTAAATTCAAGAATTATGTGGATTAAAGTAAAGGTTGGATGCGAGAAGTGGGTCATAATAAGCGTGTATGCACCTGGAGAAGAGAGGAATGCAGAGGAGAGAGAGAGATTTTGGGAGATGTTAAGTGAATGTATAGGAGCCTTTGAACCAAGTGAGAGAGTAATTGTGGTAGGGGACTTGAATGCTAAAGTAGGAGAAACTTTTAGAGAGGGTGTGGTAGGTAAGTTTGGGGTGCCAGGTGTAAATGATAATGGGAGCCCTTTGATTGAACTTTGTATAGAAAGGGGTTTAGTTATAGGTAATACATATTTTAAGAAAAAGAGGATAAATAAGTATACACGATATGATGTAGGGCGAAATGACAGTAGTTTGTTGGATTATGTATTGGTAGATAAAAGACTGTTGAGTAGACTTCAGGATGTACATGTTTATAGAGGGGCCACAGATATATCAGATCACTTTCTAGTTGTAGCTACACTGAGAGTAAAAGGTAGATGGGATACAAGGAGAATAAGAAGCATCAGGGAAGAGAGAGGTGAAGGTTTATAAACTAAAAGAGGAGGCAGTTAGGGTAAGATATAAACAGCTATTGGAGGATAGATGGGCTAATGAGAGCATAGGCAATGGGGTCGAAGAGGTATGGGGTAGGTTTAAAAATGTAGTGGTTAGAGTGTTCAGCAGAAGTTTGTGGTTACAGGAAAGTGGGTGCAGGAGGGAAGAGGAGCGATTGGTGGAATGATGATGTAAAGAGAGTAGTAAGGGAGAAAAAGTTAGCATATGAGAAGTTTTTACAAAGTAGAAGTGATGCAAGGAGGGAAGAGTATATGGAGAAAAAGAGAGAAGGTATAAGAGAGTGGGTGAAGCAATGTAAAAAGAGAGCAAATGAGAGAGTGGGTGAGATGTTATCAACAAATTTTGTTGAAAATAAGAAAAAGTTTTGGAGTGAGATTAACAAGTTAAGAAAGCCTAGAGAACAAATGGATTTGTCAGTTAAAAAATAGGAGGAGGAGAGTTATTAAATGGAGAGTTAGAGGTATTGGGAAGATGGAAGGAATATTTGAGGAATTGTTAAATGTTGATGAAGATAGGGAAAGCTGTGATTTCGTGTATAGGGCAAGGAGGAATAACATCTTGTAGGAGTGAGGAAGAGCCAGTTGTGAGTGTGGGGGAAGTTCGTGAGGCAGTAGGTAAAATGAAAGGGGGTAAGGCAGCCGGGATTGATGGGATAAAGATAGAAATGTTAAAAGCAGGTGGGGATATAGTTTTGGAGTGGTTGGTGCAATTATTTAATAAATGTATGGAAGAGGGTAAGGTACCTAGGGATTGGCAGAGAGCATGCATAGTTCCTTTGTATAAAGGCAAAGGGGATAAAAGAGAGTGCAAAAATTATAGGGGGATAAGTCTGTTGAGTGTACCTGGTAAAGTGTATGGTAGAGTTATAATTGAAAGAATTAAGAGTAAGATGGAGAATAGGATAGCAGATGAACAAGGAGGCTTTAGGAAAGGTAGGGGGTGTGTGGACCAGGTGTTTACAGTGAAACATATAAGTGAACAGTATTTAGATAAGGCTAAAGAGGTCTTTGTGGCATTTATGGATTTGGAAAAGGTGTATGACAGGGTGGATAGGGGGGCAATGTGGCAGATGTTGCAAGTGTATGGTGTAGGAGGTAGGTTACTGAAAGCAGTGAAGAGTTTTTACGAGGATAGTGAGGCTCAAGTTAGAGTATGTAGGAAAGAGGGAAATTTTTTCCCAGTAAAAGTAGGCCTTAGACAAGGATGTGTGATGTCACCGTGGTTGTTTAATACAGTGGACCCCCGCATAACGATGGCATCACATAGCGATTTTTCCGCATACCGATTACTTTTATCGCAAAATTTTTGCCGCGCATACCGATTAAAAACCCGCTTACCGATTTTCGTCCGAGACGCGTCCAATGTGCCCTCACATGTGCCGGCCGTCCCATTGTTTACCAGCCAGCCTCCGCGGTAACATCCAAGCATACACTCGGAATATTTCGTATTATTACAGTGTTTTCGGTGCTGTTTCTGGAAAATAAGTGACCATGGGCCCCAAGAAAGCTTCTAGTGCCAACCCTGTGGTAAAAAGGGTGAGAATTAGTATGGAAATTAAGAAAGATTTTGAAGGGTTTGGGGCTAACCCTGAGAAGCCTATGCCAGTTGTGGAATCCATTGTGCCTACTTCAAAGATTAAGGAAATGTGTGCACAGTGGGTTGAACTGCAAACCTTTATAGATGAAATCACCCTGACACAGCTGTTGCAAGCCGTGCTGGTGACTATTTCAATGACAATGTTATGGCCCATTTTAGGAAAGTCTTGAAGGAACGGGAGGTACAGAGCTCTATGGACAGATTTGTTGTGCGACAGAGGTCCAGTGACTCTCAAGCTGGTCCTAGTGGCATTAAAAGAAGAAGGGAAGTAACCCCAGAAAAGACTTGCTACCTCAAGTCCTAATGGAAGGGGATTCCCCTTCTAAACAGTAAGAAGATAATGCTCTCCCCTCCTCCCATCCCATCAATCATCACCAGATCTTCAATAAAAGTAAGTGTCATTTAATTGTCATGCCTTTTTTCAGTTTGTGTTATTAAAATTAACATTTCTGGGAAAAAAAATTTTTTTTTTCATACTTTTGGGCGTTTTGCCGGTTTAAAATTTTTTTTCCCTTATTTTTTATGGGAAAAATTCATTCGCAAACGAAGCCCTCTTGCACGGATTAAAATTTTTTAACCGGGGGTCCACGTTATTTATAGATGGGGTTGTAAGAGAAGAAAATCGGGGGTTTTGGGCCAGAGGCGTGGGTTAAAAGATAAAGAATCACACACAAAGGGGAGTTGTCACAGCTGCCTTTGTGATGACACTGTCCTTTTGGGAGATTCTGAGAAAAAGTTGCGGGGAATTGGGGGATAAATTTTGGTGGGGTGTGCAAAAAAGAAAATTAAAGGTGAATCAGGAAAGAAAAGGTTAGGGGGATAAAAAAAAGATTATAAAAAAGATTGAATATCAATTGGAGGGAGGAGTATGGAGGAGGTGAACGTATTCAGATTTTTGGGGAGGGGGACGTTCAGCGGAGGGTCTATAAAAAGATGAGGGAATCATAAATTGATGGGGGAAAAAAAGGTGATGGTGCACTTAGGAGTCTGGGAGACAAAACTTTGCCTTGGAGGCAAAGGGGGGAATGTAGAGAGTTTAGTTTTCCAACGCTCTTTTTGGGGTGTGAAGCGTGGGTAGAATTTTGCAGCGAGGAAAAGGCGGGGCAGTGGGGGATTCATGTCTGGGGGAAAATGTGTGGTTTAAAAAATGAGAGAATTCGTATTTTGGGAATTTAGGAGGAGGGCGGGTTACCAAAAATGTTTCCAGAGGGCTGGGGAAAGGGGTTTTTGAGGGGTTCGGACTGTAGAGAGAATGGAGCAAAAATAGAATACTTCAAGAGTGTACAGTCTGTATGGAAGGAAGGCGGGGTAGGGGGGCGGCCTGGGAAGGGGGGGGGAGGGGGGTAAAGAGGTTTTTTGTGCGAGGGGCTTGGGGCTTCCAGCAGGGATGCGTGAGCTGTTTTATAGGAGTGAATGGAACAAAAGGTTTTTTTAAAACTTGACGTTGGGTTTGGGGTGTGAGCAAAGAACATTTTAAGGGATTCAGGGAAACCGGCAGGCCGGATTGAGTCCTGGGATGGGGAAATACAGTCCTGCACTTGAAGGAGGGGGGTTAATGTTGCAGTTTAAAAACTTGTGTAAAACACCCCTTTGGCAAGACAGTGATGGAGTGAAAAGATGGGAAAGTTTTTTTTTTTTCGGGCCACCCTCCTTGGGGGGAATCGGCCGGTGTGATAAAAAAAAAAAAAAAAAAAAATAAAGGAGGGGTGAATGTGTCAGTTTTATAAAATTTTTGAAAAAAGGGGTTGGGAAGACAGGGATGGACTGAATGATGAGTTTTTCTCTTTCGGGCCACCCTGCCTTGGTGTGAAACAGCCAATGTGTTAATAAAAAAATAAAAAAAATACTATTCTTTGCTTCTGCAAATACATGATGCAATTTATACAAACCATAGTTGATATCAGTGTGATCTATAGTCTTGTACAATAATCATAACATTAATAATAATGGTTATTTCTACAGGTACATGATACAACTTATACAGGCCATAGCTGATGTCAATTACACACTATATAGAAAGTCCCTGGGTATGTCCCTAGGATGCCACCCATACCAGTCCACTAACACCCAGGTACCTACTTACTGCTAGGTGAAGAGTGATGGCAGGTGTCTTAAGGAAGCACGTCCTATGTTACCACCCCTACCGGGGATCAAACCGTGGACCTCAGTGTGTGAGCTGAGCACATATACAGCACCTATTTTCAGTGTTCCAGGTTTTCATTGGCTTTCAACTGAGCCACTGTTCCATCCGCTGGTGACAATCACCAGCGGATGGAACACAATGAACAATAGGTCAATTGGAAGCCAATGATAATGCAGAACACCATAACGAAGATGTGGGGCCCAGTGGGGGACCTATATTGTTGGGGCTGTGAAGCTTGAACTGTTACGGGGACCCTGAAGTTTGACCTGTTAAAAGGGCCCCTTCACAGCTCCTCCTCATACTGTGGACAAAAGTCTCTTCTGGGGCCCTCCGGAATTAGGAGCCCTGTAACCTTAGTATGATTAATTAAGTCTAAATTGAAGCATTAACTAGCCAGTATATAGTAGATGAAGTCATTATTAGACACTAATTCTTTCAATGCTGAGCGATTTCAATCTCATAGTTGAGTAAAAGGCTGTCCAAAGAAAGCCAGAAGCCATGTCAGGTCAGGTCACAGAGAAGTAGAAAAACAGTCTGCAGCTCAGCAGACAAGGGGTCAACCAGGTACTGCTGACTCGGCAGGCAAGGGGTCAACCAGGTACTGCTGACTCGGCAGGCAAGGGGTCAACCAGGTACTGCTGACTCAGCAGACAAGGGGTCAACCAGGTACTGCTGACTCGGCAGACAAGGGGTCAACCAGGTACTGCTGACTCGGCAGACAAGGGGTCAACCAGGTACTGCTGACTCGGCAGACAAGGGGTCTGGTAAGCAGATGAATCATTCAAAGATAGACAGGTATGACAGATACATAGAAAATAGGTACTCACACCTCTACAAAGTCAGAATGTAGAACGTCTACAGCAGTCTCTACCTCGAAGAGCTTTAATCCTGTGCTGTAGTTGGCCATCTGAACTAACCTGTAATGCAACAATATGTAAATCCAATAGATACAGTCTATCTTGTAATACACCAACAACAACACAAATACAACAGATAGTGTAACAATGAAATCTGCCTTACACATCACTTTAATTAATATTACAGTACTCATTTTTAGATTAGAATAATATTACTGTACTCATTTTTAGATCAAATTATTACTCCTGTACTCATTTTGAGATGAAAATCATATAAAAAAGAAATTAGCAACATATTGAATAACAAGAGATGATCTGAGGCCTAATTAATGCAACCTTACTTTTCAATAACCTGTATTGCTGTGGCTGATCTCTTAGGCAGTTCTTCTCCCAGAAAGAGCGTCGAGAGCCTACCAATGGCCTGAAGCAAGGAGGATAAGTCCCTTAATAGGCAGTGTAAACGAGGGCACTCGTGCTCGGCGGAAATGTTGAGTCGACGACGGCCATTTTGTTCTATCATGTTGGACTGAAGGCTGAGGTATAATTTTGTGGCTTCGTTCCATGGTTCATACTGCAAGAGAGAGAAATTTACATACCCAAGAGTCGTTAATACACTATACGTTAAAATTAGTTTTTTTATTGACACATTGGCAATTTCCCACTGAGGCAGGGTGACCCAGTAAAGAAACACTTTCATCATCATTCACTCCATCACTGTCTTGCCAGAAGTGTGCCGACACTTCGGTTAAAAAAATGCAACATATCTCCACCCCTCCTTCAGAGTACAGGTACTGTACTTCCCACCTCCAGTACTGTAACATCCTCACTCATCCTTCAGAGTACAGGTACTGTACTTCCCACCTCCAGAACTGTAACATCCTCACTCATCCTTCAGAGTACAGGTACTGTACTTCCCACCTCCAGAACTGTAACATCCTCACTCATCCTTCAGAGTACAGGCACTGCACTTTCCACCTCCAGAACTCAAGTCTGCCTAACCAGTTTCCCTGAATCCCTTCATAAATGCTACCTTGCTCACACTCCAACAGCATGTCAAAAATTAATGGCTATAAATTCCAGTAGGAAGTGCTAAACCTGCAGGGAATGGGAGGCAGTTGGGTATAATCCAAGGAAGAGGATAATTCCAATTCCTTGGATCACGATACCTCCCTTGAAGGGTTCCATATCAAAAGATATTACTATACGAGGTTACACGTCAATAATCACAGCCATTTTCAAAGTCAAAAAATAATACAATGTCCCATTTTCCTTCTATGTAACCTTGTGCATGAATATACAGGGTTTAGAAAAATAAAAAGTCACAATACCATTATTTAGTTAGATTTTAGAAATTAACAAAAAACAATAACAATTTGCCTACCACCAGAGTGAAAATTTGATCAGGCAGAAGGTCAGCAATTTTTACCAGAACAAAAAGGGTCACAATGCCATTAATATCACAAATTAAAAAAATATTTGCCTACCACCAGAGTGAAAATTTGATCAGGAAGGTCAGCAATTTTTACCAGAAACAAAAAGGGTCACAATGCCATTATTTTATTATTTATTATCACACTGGCTGATTCCCACCAAGGCAGGGTGGCCCGAAAAAGAAAAACTTTCACCATCATTCACTCCATCACTGTCTTGCCAGAAGGGTGCTTTACACTACAGTTTTTAAACTGCAACATTAACACCCCTCCTTCAGAGTGCAGGCACTGTACTTCCCATCTCCAGGACTCAAGTCCGGCCTGCCGGTTTCCCTGAACCCCTTCATAAATGTTACTTTGCTCACACTCCAACAGCACGTCAAGTATTAAAAACCATTCGTCTCCATTCACTCCTATCAAACACGCTCATGCACGCCTGCTGGAAGTCCAAACCCCTCGCACACAAAACCTCCTTTACCCCCTCCCTCCAACCTTTCCTAGGCCATTAATATCACAAATTAAAAAAATATTTGCCTACCACCAGAGTGAAGATTTGATCAGGCAGAAGGTCAGCAATTTTTACCAGAAACAAAAAGGGTCACAATGCCATTAATATCACAAATTAAAAAAATATTTGCCTACCACCAGAGTGAAAATTTGATCAGGCAGAAGGTCAGCAATTTTTACCAGAAACAAAGAGGGTCACAATGCCATTAATATCACAAATTAAAAAAATATTTGCCTACCACCAGAGTGAAGATTTGATCGGGCAGAAGGTCAGCAATTTTGGCCAGTAGTTCCAGGTTCCTGGTGAAGAAGGAATGCCACTCTGATATCTCCTCACTCGTCCCCAACTCTCCATAGTGATGCATGTTGTTCTCTGATATTTCCTCACAGATTTCGTGGTCCAGTTCCTCGAGCTCTGCCTGCAGAAAACCTTGGCTTGATTCTATTGATGATTTTCACATGTATACAAATTGTTCCAAAGCTTTTGCTATGCAACGGAATACAGTAGAACTCCTGTACCTGCAGATTCAGTTTCCAGGGTATCAGTTATCCATGGGTTACCATGGCCTGCTTAATGCAGAGTGCAAAAGTAGTGATGCTGGTAGTTGTTCAAAGTGTAAGAGAAGCCGGGAAGTGATTCCCATTAGTGAAAAAGTGATAATTCTCCCTTGTTCATAATTTATCAATTAAACTTTACCACAGGTAAACTAAAAACAACTTATACATAGGGTTCACTACTATCTGCTGTATCGGGTATCCATGCAATGCATGGAATGCATCTCCATGGATACCGGGCCACTACTGTACATTATCCAAGGTGTTTAACATTACCCAGAAGTCACACCTGTTAGTGCTTCCGGGGATTATCTGACCCAGGTTAGAAAAAAATTATGTAACATCTGGGAAAGAACAAAAATTCACAATACCCTAACTGGAACAATACACAAATAACCCACACACAGAAAAGAGAGCCTAATGATGAAATTTTGGTCCAAACTTGGACCACTGAACCATTACCAATATGGACCATTGTAAATAGTCCATATTGGTAATGGTATTCATTTATTTACTTTTTAACTTTTTGATGCAGGTATTTAGTTAGTTACAGTAATTATTTGTTTGTTAATTAAGTGACAATAGTTATTTATTTATCATGTCATATTCATATTATATGTACAGTGGAACCTCGAGTTTCGAACGTATCAATTATCGAATGCTTCAAGTTTCAACAGCTTTTTTCGAACCAATTTTGTCCCGAGTATCGAACTTGCCCCACGTTTTGAACTGCGTACCAAACCTGTCCACCTGTCCGTGCCTGCCGCGTCCCCCGCGCAGGTGTTGAGAGCCAGTCTGGCTTTGTTTATGCTTGAGTGAATGCTCATTTAAACATTTCACAATTAATTCATTGTGTTTGGTGCTTGTTTATTAAGTGAGACTGAAATAAGCTACCATGGTGTTGATGGTGATGGTGGTGGATGGTATTGGTGGATGGTGGATGGTGCCTTCTTCAGAGATTAAGGAGATCTGTGCAATGTTGAATAGGGTGCAGGCATTTGCTGAAAAATCTCTCTCTGAGCAAGCTGAAACAAGCCATCTCTGCAACATGTTCAGTGACAGAACCATGTCCCATTTTAGGGAAATCTTAAAGAATGAAAGTAACCCCCAGATAAGGATTTGTTACCTAAAGTCTTTATGGAAGGAGATTCCCCTTCCAAACAATAAGTGCTCCCTCACTCCTCACTATCTTCCAGATGCCATCAACAATCTTCAATAAAGGTAAGTAAAAATGTTATTTTATCTTTATCTATTACTAATTGTACTATGTATGTTTGTTGTATGTAAAACTATAATTAATCTCTATAAAATGTATTTTTTTGTGAATATTTTTGGGTTTCTGGAATGGATTAATTAAGAACATAAGAAAGGAGGAACACTGCAGCAGGCCTGTTGGCCCATACTAGGCAGATCCTTGACAATCCTTCCCACAAACAACGAAATAAGTTCGAAACTCGAGGTTCCACTGTACGTACAATATTTTTAACTTATGATTGTTCATCAGAATGTAACACCACTGTAAAGAACAAAACAGGCACAAAATTGTGACTGGAACAATATACAAATAACCCGCACATAGGAGAGAGGAGCTTATGACGACGTTTCAGTCTGAATCGGACCAAAACTGTAAACTCCCCTCTCCTATCGTGTGGGTTATTTGTGTATAACCCCATTTTAAGTCGAGGACCACCTGTGGTTTATTGGCACTGTATTATCGGCCAACACAAGACCTTTACCATATAGCATTCTTTTTTAATCACACTGGCTGTCTCCCAACGAGGCAGGGCGACTCAAAAAAGAAACACTTTCACCATCATTCCCTCTATCACCGTCTTGTCACAAGGTATATACATACTACAGTTCAGATGCCCCTCCCAACATTATCAAGGCACCTTCCTTAACGGGATAGAAATTTTCTTAAAAAAGCCCTTCTGGAGATTTTCTTTTGAAATGTTCAGATTTGACTGAATTTATTATTACTTACCACCTTCTTAACTCTGTAAAGACATTTCAAAACTAACCTGGTTATGTCTTAGTTGTATTTTATGGAGAATCCCTCTCGCCAGTGATATTAAGGCATCCTCGTACCTATCAAACAAGACAACTATTATTATTATTATTATTATTATTATTATTTTTAACACGTCAGCCGTTTCCTACCAAGGCAGGCTGACCCAAAAAGAAAGAAAAAAAATCCAAACAGAAAGAAAAAACTTTCATCATTCAACACTTTCACCAACACTCATACATAATCATTGTCTTTGCTGAGGTGCTCAGATATGACAGTTTAGAAGTCCCTCCAAACTGCCAACATCCTAAACCCCTCCTTTAAAGTACAGGCATTATACTTCCCATTTCCAGGACTCAAGTCCAGCTAACCAGTTTCCCTGAATCCTTTCACAAAATATTACCCTGTTCACACTCCAAAAGCTCATCAGGTCCCAAAAACCATTCGTCTCCATTCACTCCTATCTAACATGTTTGCTGGAAGTCCAAGCCCCTCACCCACAAAACTTCCTTTGCCCCTCCCTCCGAGTGAGTGAGCCAGTACAGTGGACCCCTGCATAACGATCACCTCCGAATGCGACCAATTATGTAAGTGTATTTATGTAAGTGCGTTTGTACGTGTATGTTTGGGGGTCTGAAATGGACTAATCTACTTCACAATATTCCTTATGGGAACAAATTCGGTCAGTACTGGCACCTGAACATACTTCTGGAGTGAAAAAATATCGTTAACCGGGGGTCCACTGTGTATATACAGGTGAGGAGGACGGGATAAAAGGGAGGAGTAAAAAAAGGTTATCAAAGCAATACTACAAGCTCAAAAGTCCATCTTATATATTTAACCAAATACAGTGGACCCCCGGTTTACGATATTATTTCATTCCAGAAGTATGTTCACGTGCCAGTACTGACCGAATTTGTTCCCATAAGGAATATTGTGAAGTAGATTAGTCCATTTCAGACCCCCAAACATACACGTACAAACGCACTTACATAAATACACTTACATAATGGGTCGCATTGGGAGCTGATCATAAACCGGGGGTTCACTGTACATATACAGCCTCTCCTCATTTAACGACAGAGTTGCGTTTCTAAGACCACGTTGGTAAATGAATTCGTTACTAAGTGAGGAACATAATACAATGGTAGTGTGTTTGTGTCAACCATCTTTGATATTGTTTTAATGTCACCTTTGTACCATTTATAACATTTCTGATATATTTTTAAATATCTATACCATAGTCTACTATGTATTCTAATAAACAGAATAGAAGAAATCAGCTCTAATATACATTATTCAGGTATGCACACAGGTCAGAGAGCCCGTCATAAGTCCGAGTCGTCAGTAAATGAGTACGTCGCTAAGTGAGGAGAAGCTGTACTGGTATTTAGTTAGTTACAGTAATTTTTTTTCTTTTAACACTACGGCCATATCCCACCGAGGCGGGGTGGCCCAAAAGGAAAAACGAAAGTTCCTCCTTTTACATTTAGTAATATATACAGGAGAAGGGGTTACTAGCCCCTTGCTCCTGGCATTTTAGTCGCCTCTTACAACACACATGGCTTACGGAGGAAGAATTCTGTTCCACTTCCCCATGGAGGTAAGAGGAAATAAACAAGAATAAGAACTAGTAAGAAAATAGAAGAAAACCCAGCAGGGTGTGTATATATATGCTTGTACATGTATGTGTAGTGTGACCTAAGTGTAAGTAGAAGTAGCAAGACGTACCTGAAACCTTGCGTGTTTGTGAGACAGAAAAATGGACACCAGCAATCCTACCATCATGTAAAACAATTACAGGCTTTCGTTTTACACTCACTTGGCAGGACGGTAGTACCTCCCTGGGCGGTTGATGTCTACCAACCTACTACCTAGGAGTTACAGTAATTATTTGTTTATTTAATTATTCAGTGACAATAGTTATTTATTTACTTATCATATATTCATATTCAACTTACGACATTTTTAACTTACAATGGCTTCGTCGGAACGTAACCCCATCATAAGTCAAGGACCACTTGTACATAAAGCAATTCCAATATGACTCTCACCTCCCTACTCCAGTTTGATCTTGTGGTCCTTGAACCTTGGAAAGTAGATGATCCAGAAAGATACTCCAGACATCCAGACAGTTGAAGTAAGCCTCCACGCAGTGCTGATGGAATGTGTAGCGGAAGAGCAGTGCCAGGAATTCCAAAACAGGGAACTGAGAATTGTTTTCAAACCTTCTGAGATGGACACTTACAAATAGTCGCAGAAACTCTGTGAATTTATCTAGATAACTGAAAGAAAAAACATTTGACTAATAGTGGAGCCACTTAATAGTTGCAGAGGAATCAAAATTTAATGAAAAATATAAAAAATTACACTTTCCAACACTGGTACAAAATATTTTTTGTAAATTAAAGTTTTTTCAACATTACAAAAAAAAAATATGATTAATAGTAGCAGAGGAATAAAAATTTAATGAAAATTAATAAAAATTTAATTTCCAAAACTTGTGTAAAATATTGTAAGTAAAATTATTTTTACATTATTTTTTTTATTAACACATCGGCCATTTCCCACTATGGCAGGGTTAACCAGAAAAGAAGAAACACTTTCATCATCATTCACTCCATCACTGTTTTTATTACTAATTTAAGTTAGTGTGTGACTAGTTAATGGATCAAGTTGGACCGAAACATGGTCCTAAGCTTCGCTCTCCTATGTGCGGGTTATTTGTGTATTACTATTCCTGTGATGGTATTGTCTCTTTTTGTTCTTTTCTACAGAGATCATTAATGAAGGTTCCACAAAGCACCAGTCATATTTACAGTAGAAACCCCGTATCCCAGTGAGCATGGCTACACTCAACGCCATCTGTGGGCTGCCCAGTAAACTAGTCTGGCAGCCGCGGGAATTTCAAGTTCCTCCTCGTAAATTTGTACGGATTATAAGAGGTTCCGGACCATCTGATAGTGAAACTCTCGAAACTCTTCAAAAGTATATCGAAGGTATATCGGTGTCTGGAAAGTCGGTGTTGTACATGTATGTAGTGTTCACTACTATTCGAGTCAGGTCCTTGGAACATATCCCCAGTGGATATGGGGGTCGTACTGTATATTATTACCAGATACTCAAAGATTTAACACTCAAACTGAACTGAGAGTCAAGACTGAGATTTCAGCGAGAGCCACAGATATAACATACTGACACTACTTGCTCTAATATTATTGTAATCCTGGGAAAATGCTAAACCTGTAGGGGGTCTAACAGCACCTAGGAATGGGCGGTAATCAGGTAAATGACATATCTAAGGACTGTTTCACTGTACTCTGACGTACCCATGACCTACTCTTTTCTACCTCAAATGTACTCATGACCAGCTCTTCTGCACCTCATCATGCTCTAATTTCCTGAATCAAGAGCCCTTCATCAACATTGGAGCAATGTGCAATACACATTCATATACAGAGCACATCTAACTTGGGGTCTAAAACTGAAGACCGGTGTGTAAACATCACCCTGGTACCATTCTAACTGTCATACAGAGAGAACATCTAACCTGGGCGTCTAATTCCTGTAGACGTGCATGTAAAATATCACCTTGGTTCCACTGTAATTAACCCGTAAATGGTCCAAGCAGATCTACGTTCACATGTGTAGTGCTACAAAAGTAGATCTAAGTTTTTTTACACATTTTCAAATGTAGAAAAACAAAAAGAAGATCTGCTTTTTTTACATACTTATATGTATATATACGTTTGGACCGTTTACGGGTTAAGCCATACAGAGAGCATGTCTAACCTGGGGTCTAGTAACTGTAGACGCGAAGTTGTGTTAGGTTCGTCTCTCACTAATCTCTGCAACAGCTGGAATGTATTCCTGAACATCTGCAAGAGGAATTCTTCGAAGTCATGAGGGACACAGTTCTTGCTCATGATCTCGTTGATGGCCCCCATAGCCAGAACTCCCAGGGATTCCCCACCATAAAACTCTTCTCCAGTGAACCATTATGGAGTTTGCTGGGCTGATTAAAGAAACAAGCACCATGTACACTACACATACATAAACATACTTGTATAAATATTACAATACACACAAATTTTCATATTTCATCTTTTTTTTTTTTAACACACCGGCCGTCTCCCACCAAGGCAGGGTCACCTACAAAGGAAAACAAAAGTGCTGTTGCAATTAAATTTAAAAGGAACAATTAAAGATGTTTTTAAATTTAGTAATTTATACAGAAGAAGTGTTACTAGCCCCTTGCTCCCGGCATTTTAATCGCCTCTTACCAGATGCATGGCTTACAGAGGAAGAATTCTGTTTCACTTCCCCATGGAGATAAGAGGAAATAAAGAAGAGCTATTAAGAAAATAGAAAAACAACCCAGATGGGTGTGTATATATATGCTTGTACATGCATGTGTAGTGTGATCTAAGTGTAAGTAGAAGTAGCAAGACGTACTTGAGACCTTGCTTGTTCGTGAGATGGAAAAAAGACACCAGCAATCCTACCATCATGTAAAACAATTACGTACAGGTTTTTGTTTTACATTCACTTGGCAGGATGGTAGTACCTCCCTGGGTGGTTGCTGTCTACCAACCTACTACCACAGGATGGTAGTACCTCCCTGGGTGGTTGCTATCTACCAACCTACTACCACAGGATGGTAGTACCTCCCTGGGTGGTTGGTTTCTACCAACCTACTACCACAGGATGGTAGTACCTCCCTGGGTGGTTGTTGTCTACCAACCTACTACCACAGGATGGTAGTACCTCCCTGGGTGGTTGTTGTCTACCAACCTACTACCACAGGATGGTAGTACCTCCCTGGGTGGTTGGTTTCTACCAACCTACTACCTTGTAGTAACATCTCCTGTATAAATTACTAAGTGTATCAAGAAAAACTTTCATTTTTCTTTTTAGGTCACCCTGCCTCGTCGGGAGATGGCCGGTGTATTAAAAAAAACAGTTAAATGGGACTATTACCTGTGGGTCAGCTCCTAATGATGCAAAAAGGAATATTGTATTGAGCAGATGTGGGGTTATAAGTGTAGAGAGTGGAATCCAGGAGAAGAGGTGAGTGAGACAGTTGAGAGAGAGCAAGGCTATTGTCTCACTCTCAGTGTCTAGCGGAGGCAGTAGAAAGGCCATGCGTGTGCTGGTGCCACTCTCCAGGCTGTCAAACATACTGCTTAGTGTACCTGAAAAAAACACAAGCTTACTGGATCTTAACTACAATTTACGAAATAAGTACAAGTGCTCTTTGACTTACAAACAAGTTGAGAATTTTCTGTATTGTATATAATAACATTATTAAATCACTATTGTGTATAATATCATTATTATACGCAATTCAGAATGTCCCCAATGTGTTTGTTTGTTCGACTTACAATGGGGTTACACAAATAACCTGAACATAGGAGAGAGAAGATTAAGATGACATTTCAGTCTGACTTGGACCATTTGCAAAGTGACTGTTAATGTTCCAAGTCGGACAGAAATTCTGTCATAAGCTTCTCTCTCCTATGTGCGGGTTGTTTGTGTACTGTTCAGTCACAGTATTGTGACTGTTCTTGATGGGGTTACATTCTGACGAACCCATCGATGGAAATACACTAAGGGCATTAATGGAAATACATTGTAGGGACCTCAATGGAAATACACTGTAGGGACCTCAATGGAAATACACTGTAGGGACATCAATGGAAATACAATGTAGGGACATCAATGGAAATACAATGCAGGGACATCAATGGAAATACAATGCAGGGACATCAATGGAAATACAATGCAGGGACATCAATGAAAACAGTCTAGGGACATCAGTGGAAATACAGTACAGCAATCCACTGAGAATTCAGCAATGTGTCACACTAAGGATATTTAACCCAGGATAACCCAGTAAAGACAAACAATATAAATAATATCCATGTTTTAATGAGTATTATACTCAAAAATAATTGTAATACTTTAAATATTCATTGTACATAGATTTAGAAGATCAATATAAAAACTGGAATAAAAATCAATCATACACTATATATATACAACGGAACCTTGGTTTTCATCGTTAATCCGTTCGAAAAAGTCTGACGAAAACCTGAATTGTTATGTTAGTATAAATATATTATTACTACCTGTTTGAATTGGAGAGGACGAGAGAGCCGAGCGAGACGGAGACTGACTGTGCGTGTGTGTCGGAGAGGGCGGAGGTGTGGCCGTTACTGCATTCTTGTGCTTCTCCACAACACCCTCTAATAAACCTGAAAATATATATGAAAACATTATGTTCCAGAATTTATATATGTGAATAAATGGCTTAGAAAACTGACAAGTTGGTAAATGAGATGCTTGTGCAACATCTGGGTATCTTTATTGTGGAAATGTTGCGCCACCTTAAACATTCCCAAATGATGGACGAGTGTCTTATTTACCAAACTGTGTATGTATGTATGTATGCACACATAACACATCTGCCATTTCCCACCGAGGCAGGGTGACCCAAAAAGAAAGAAAAATACTTTCATCAACATTCAACACTTTCACAATCACTCATACTTAATCAATGTCTTTGCAGAGGTGCTCAGATATGACTGCCAATATCCCAAACCCCTCCTTTAAAGTGCAGGCATTGTACTTCCCATTTCCAGGACTCAAGTCTGGCTAACCGGCTTCCCTGAATCCCTTCAGAAAATATTTTACACAGGGTTTAACAAAGTTAAGGTTAAGGTTCCCAACTTTATTTACAAGCTATGAGCTGCTACCTACATCAGCTTGTTTAAAAGCCTTTTATTATTATGAGATATACAAGTAGGGAACAGGATGAAGTTGGAGCCATCTGTGGGCCAGCAATTTCATTTGATCAACCGACTTTATTTCACTATTATTATTCTGTTTGTACATGTTCCAAACTCGAGTCATCCTAGGAATAAATGATCTCAGATGTAGCAATTTTCTGGAGATGGTTACAAAGTGAGGTTGCTGCTTGCTGCCTGTCTTGTGGTGTAGTAGCTGTCTTCTAGCTGCCCGTCTTGTGGTGTAGTAGCTGTCTTCTAGCTGCCTGTCTTGTGGTGTAGTAGCTGTCTTCTAGCTGTCTGTCTTGTGGTGTAGTAGCTGTCTTCTAGCTGCTTGTCTTGTGGTGTAGTAGCTGTCTTCTAGCTGCCTGTCTTGTGGTGTAGTAGCTGTCTGTCTTGTGGTGTAGTAGCTGTCTTCTAGCTGTCTGTCTTGTGGTGTAGTAGCTGTCTTCTAGCTGTCTGTCTTGTGGTGTAGTAGCTGTCTTCTAGCTGTCTGTCTTGTGGTGTAGTAGCTGTCTTCTAGCTGCCTGTCTTGTGGTGTAGTAGCTGTCTTCTAGCTGCCTGTCTTGTGGTGTAGTAGCTGTCTTCTAGCTGCCTGTCTTGTGGTGTAGTAGCTGTCTTATAGCTGCCTGTCTTGTGATGTAGTAGCTGTCTTCTAGCGGCCCATCTTGTGGTGTAGTAGCTGTCTGTCTTGTGGTGTAGTAGCTGTCTTCTAGCTGCTTGTCTTGTGGTGTAGTAGCTGTCTTCTAGCTGTCTGTCTTGTGGTGTAGTAGCTTTCTTCTAGCTGTCTGTCTTGTGGTGTAGTAGCTTTCTTCTAGCTGTCTGTCTTGTGGTGTAGTAGCTGGGTACAGGTGAGAGATGAGGCATCTTGCTCTGTTCTCTACTCTGTCAAGAAGTCACAGATGAGATGATTGGCAGGCAATCCAGAAAAGTAGAGCATACTCAAGGTGTGAGTGTACATGTGCCTTGTACAGAATCTGGCAACCTCTACTATCAAGCAGATGCAAGATATGTCCAAGTGCTGCAAGCTTCTTGGCTGCCTTGTTTGTTAAGTTTACAACACGGTTCTTCATGGTCAATTTTACCCCAAGGATATCAACTTCATCCCTGGGTACCAGCACTCTCCCATTCATTCTTACCAGTGCTCCAGCATTACCATCATGGTGCCTGGAGACCATCATCATTTGTGTTCTCTCAGGTGCAAATGTTACCTGCCATCATTACGTAGTTGTCTGCACATGCAGGGAATTCTGGGATGAGATGGAGGAGGTTGTTGAAGTAGATATTCCATAACAATGGCCCAAGCACACTTCCCTGTCGAACACTTGCCTCAGTAGGATGTCTTGCTGACTCTGTCCCATTGACAACTCCCATTAGAGATCTACCTTGAAGGTAATCACTGAGGAGACAGTGTAGAGCCTGGAATTCCCAGTGCTTGCAGTTTTGCCGAAAGTCCCTGGTGCCATACTCAGTCGAAAGCACCAGATATGTCCAGTGCCACTATACAACTGACTTTGGATTCATCCAGTGACTGGTGTCACTTAATGGAGAAGTTCAACAGATCAGCAGCAGAGCAACCTTTTCTGAAGCCATATTGATGGTCACAAAAAAGTAAGTGGTAGTCAAAAAACTCTGTCATCTCCTGTGAGATTATTCTCTCAAGAATCTTGGCAGTGATTGATTATCCAGTGGAACTTGGTGTTTGAACTTAATTGGTTCCTAGGTGGTGTTTGAACTGGGGAAGTTTAATGTGGGAAAGAGTATTTGCCAGGCTTTAATTATGAGCCTCTCACACTGGAGGATGTTGAACTGACTCTTGCAAAAGTCTCTGAGTTAGGTCAGTGTCAGGGGTCACTTCAAAGTACTTTTGAAACTGGGTTTTTTACAACTGAATTGTAAAATCACTGAGTTCGTACCCCAGAAAAATCTTCCAAAGACTGGCTCAATTTTTCCTGAACAAAAGTGTTCGGACTCCAGTTTGTTCAAACACCGAGGTTTCTTATTCTTCTGTTTTTCTTCTGTTGGGTTTCAGGGGCACTGACAGCATATGCCGTATCAAGCCCGGCTGTCCAGTGCTAGGAGAGGGGACATCGACCAAAGTGGAAGAATGTCTTGGCTAATAACTATGTATCATATGTCTCTGATATGCCCTGAAGCCAGCAGGAAGGAGCAGGTACAGGCCAATATCTCCTGACGGTCCAGAGGGCGAAACCCCTCCCCATTGAGGAGGACAAGTAGAGTGAAAATGTGCATCCCAAGCGTGCGCAAGGCCGCACAGAGAGTAGTCTGTGCAGAGTGATAATGTGGGCACCACAGCAGAAAGAAACACCGAGGTTTAACTGCTGTTATATCGTGCGATGCAGCACTCTTATTATACGTTATAAATCTGGAACTCTCTGCCAAAAATCTCCAGAACCTCTCTGTCTACCTGGTAACTCCAGAGCCTCTATATCTACCTGATAACTCCAGAGCTTCTATATGTATCTGGTAACTCCAGAGCCTCTATATCTACCTGATAACTCCAGAGCCTCTATATGTATCTGGTAACTCCAGAGGCCTCTATATTTCCTGATAACTCCGAGCCCCTATATCTACTGATAACTCCAGAGCCTCTATATCTACCTGGTAACTCCAGAGCCTCTATATCTACCTGATAACTCCAGAGCCTCTATATCTACCTGATAACTCCAGAGCCTCTATATCTACCTGGTAACTCCAGAGCCTCTATATCTACCTGATAACTCCAGAGCCTCTATATCTACCTGATAACTCCAGAGCTTCTATATGTATCTGGTAATCCAGAGCCCTATATCTATCTGGTAAACTCCAGAGCCTCTATATCTACCTGGTAACTCCAGAGCCTCTATACTATCTGGGAACTCCCAGAGCCTCTATATCTATCTGGAACTCCAGAGCCTCTATTTTCTATCTGGTAACTCCAGAGCCTCTATATCTATCTGGTAACTCCAGAGCCTCTATATCTACCTGATAACTCCAGAGCCTCTATATGTATCTGGTAACTCCAGAGCCTCTATATCTACCTGGTAACTCCAGAGCTTCTATATCTACCTGATAACTCCAGAGCCTCTATATCTACCTGATAACTCCAGAGCCTCTATATGTATCTGGTAACTCCAGAGCCTCTATATCTACCTGGTAACTCCAGAGCTTCTATATCTACCTGGTAACTCCAGAGCTTCTATATCTACCTGGTAACTCCAGAGCTTCTATATACCTGGGAACTCCAGAGCCCCTATATCTATCTGGTAACTCCCGAGCCTCTATATCTATCCCGGTAACTCCAGAGCCTCTATATCTACCCGGTAAAATCCAGAGCCTCTATATCTACCTGGTAACTCCAGAGCCTCTATATCATCTGGTAACTCCAGAGCCTCTATATTTTATCTGGTAACTCCAGAGCCTCTATTTTCTACCTGGTAACTCCAGAGCCTCTATATCTATCTGGTAACTCCAGAGCTTCTATATCTATCTGGTAACTCCAGAGCCTCTATATCTACCTGGTAACTCCAGAGCTTCTATATCTACCTGGTAACTCCAGAGCCTCTATATCTATCTGGTAACTCCAGAGCTTCTATATCTACCTGGTAACTCCAGAGCCTCTATATCTATCTGGTAACTCCAGAGCCTCTATATCTATCTGGTAACTCCCGAGCTTTTTATATCTACCTGGTAACTCCAGAGCCTCTATATCTATCTGGTAACTCCAGAGCCTCTATATCTATCTGGTAACTCCAGAGCCTCTATATCTATCTGGTAACTCCAGAGCCTCTATATCTATCTGGTAACTCCAGAGCCTCTATATCTATCTGGTAACTCCAGAGCTTCTATAAACTATACTGGTAACTCCAGAGCCTCTATATCTATCTGGTAACTCCAGAGCCTCTATATCTATCTGGTAACTCCAGAGCTTCTATATCTACCTGGTAACTCCAGAGCCTCTATATCTATCTGGTAACTCCAGAGCCTCTATATCTATCTGGTAACTCCAGAGCCTCTATATCTATCTGGTAACTTCCCGAGCTTCTATATCTACCTGGTAACTCCAGAGCCTCTATATCTATCTGGTAACTCCAGAGCCTCTATATCTATCTGGTAACTCCAGAGCCTCTATATCTATCTGGTAACTCCAGAGCCTCTATTCTATCTGGTATCCAGAGCCCCTATATCTATCTGGTAACTCCAGAGCCTTATATCTAAACCCGGTTTAACTCCCGAGCCCCAATATCTATCTGGTTTAAATCCAGAGCTTCTTATCTACCTGGTAACTCCAGAGCTTCTATATCTACCTGGTAACTCCAGAGCTTCTATATCTACCTGGTAACTCCAGAGCTTCTATATCTATCTGGTAACTCCAGAGCCTCTATATCTACCTGATAACTCCAGAGCCTCTATATCTATCTGGTAACTCCAGAGCCTCTATATCTATCTGGTAACTCCAGAGCCTCTAT